AACACTTGACTTATACCATTTATTTCAACGTTATTATGCTGGAAAGTTCTGCATAGCGACTTTTATACCCTAGTACTTCCTGTTATACATAAAATCTAAAAAATCTTGGTATGCTATCCAAGCTCGGCTAAGCCTATTGATTTTTATTTCATTTTATAGGATGATGCCGATGGTCTATTCAGTTTGAGGGCAGCTTTTAATGTGATCTCCGTCTACCTTGGTATGGAACAAAATGAGAAATTTATCTGCTCGCCAAAAGCAGAAAGCATAAAAGCTTACTAGTTTGTTTATCAGACATCATAACAGCTTATTTATCAATTCATTAAGAGAGCAGATTAAATGCTTTGATTTATGTTAGTATATAAAAACAGGGTGTCAGTTTTATTATTTAATCAAATCAATGTGTTTTATTTATTTCAATTTATGATCACTGCTATAATGAAATATCTAATTTATATAAATTAGCAAACTAAATTTTTTTAGTACTACTCTGCGTTTAATCGAGGGATAATACACATAATTATTTAATTTTTGCCAGAGTCTAAATAAATTGATAAATTGGAAATGTCTAAGGTCTAATGGTCTAAAGCCTCAATGTTTTTGATGATGGTCTGTCATCTACACAAGTGATGCGAGTTTGATTCTATGCATGTGTATAACCAGACATAAATTCTCCTGCATGACCTCATGGGTTTCTTTTTCAGTTTCCCACCACTGCTAGAAATCCATATGACAGATATATTTATTAACAACTACTGTACATGTAAATGTAATAGGTTAGTCTTGAAATACCCTAATCTATTTTTAAGTGCCTGTTGCTCTCTTACTCTTTAATTAAACTATTTCCTTGTCAAGAGAATCTTGTTTCACTGATAAACTCCCTGATCCATATTCCTGATACATTCTGTATGTCGTGGTGACATTATCATGGAAAGAAATGACCTCCCGGTCATGAAGTCTTTCTCTATCTGGAACTGATGAAAATGTGGAAAGTTACCAATGTTGTCTTTTCCAAAACAAAATAACCACAAAGTCTACATGTGTACACTTGAGACAAAATAGTAATTATTCAGCACAATTTTGATGTGTCACTACCGACTGAAGGTGACTCAGCCAATACAATATGCATATGAATTAACTGGAATTGTCTTCTCGTTTATTTAGTTAGCACTCTAAGACACTTTGCATTGTAAGGGGGGGACGCATACATGTACAAGTACACTGTATATAATAAGGTCCTTTTTTTGGATGTGACAATCAAGTCATGTAGGGTCGTCTGTGTACCCTTGTGGGTTTCTTCCGAGTTTTCTCTCTCTTTTTTTTTGAGTGATATCAAAAGAAAGATTGTCCACAATATTTACCTCAGGTTAGCAAGATATTTTTTCCAATTTTTACATGTGCATTGCAAACTATAAATTTAACAGTATTTAATGAATTCTAAGGTTACATTATTTGGAATTCTCATTTTATAGTATGTAAACTGACCGGCCAATTTCACTGACTGATGGGAGTCTTAGTTGAAATGCAGTACAATGTATTATTTGTTTCACATAATCAATAGTCTGAGTCAATTAATCTATAGCAAATAATGCATTCTTTTTTTTATGGTATTGAAATACAGACATTTAAACCTGTTGAAATAGCCAAGATTTCCGCAACAGTGCATCTTCCCAAAAAAATATTTAAAAAATACCATCATTATATATTCAGTATATACTACATGTATGAATGATTCATAGTATTAGTATTATGTATTTACACAATTTGGAAATTAGACATTTATAAGTTATTTAAAAGGTCCTGCAATTCCAAAGATAGGTTGCCAGGCAACAAAACATACGCACACAGCAGCTAAATCGTCCGGGCAGTCAACAAGTGTTGTCGCATATTTTTTACTTTTTTTGGTAATGAAACATTTATAATATTAATACACTAAAATCTGATTAAGAGTAACAACCCATGAAGTAATTATCAATCTGAAGTCAATCGGATGATAACTTTAGCCTCTAGAGCATCACTAGATTTTTCAAAGTGATCAAGGGCCATAACTTTGGCAGTAATTATCGGAAATCGTTGAAAATCAATAGGATTCTTTGTCTCATGACCTCAAACACTGTGTATAAATTGAAAGTCAATAGGATATTAACTTTAGTCTCTAGAGCATCCACAAGATTTTTTGGAGTGATTAAGGGCAGTAATTATCGGAAATTGCTGAAAATCAATAGGCTTCTTCGTCTTATGACCGTAAACACTGTGTATAAATTTAAAGTCAATCTGATATTAACTTTAGCCTCTAGAGCATCACAAGATTCTTCAAAGTGATCAAAGGCCATAACTTTGGCAGTAATTATCGGAAATCGTTGAAAATCAATATGGTTCTTTGTCTCATGACCTCAAACACTGTGTATGAATTTAAAGTCAATCGGATATTAACTTTAGCCACTAGAGCATCCACAAGGTTTTTTGAAGTGATCAAGGGCAGTAATTATCGGAAAATGCTGAAAATCAATAGGCTTCTTCGTCTCATGACCGTAAACACTGTGTATAAATTTAAAGTCAATCGGATATTAACTTTGGCCTCTAGAGCATCCACAAGATTTTTTGAAGTGATCAAGGGCCATAACTCTGGAAGCAATTATCGAAAATCGCTGAAAATGAATAGACTTCTTCGTCTCATGACCTTAAACACTGTGTATAAATTTAAAGTCAATCGTATATTAACTTTGACCTCTAGAGCATCCACAAGATTTTTTGCAGTGATTAAGGGCAGTCATTTACTAATTATCAGAAATTGCTGAAAAACAAGAGGCTTCTTCGTCTTATGACCGTAAACACTGTGTATTAATTCAAAGTCGATCGGATATTAACTTTAGCCTCTAGAGCATCCCAAGATTTTTCAAAGTGATCAAGGGCCATAACTTTGGCAGTAATTATCGGAAATCGCTGAAAATCTATAGGTTTCTTCGTCTCATGACCTTAAACACTGTGTATAAAGTTAAAGTCAATCGGATATTAACTTTGACCTCTAGAGCGCCCACAAGATTTTTTGAAGTGATCAAGGGCCATAACTCTGGCAGTAATTATCGGAAATCGCTGAAAATCAATAGGCTTCTTCGTCTCATGACCTTAAACACTGTGTATAAATTTCAAGTCAATCGGATATTAACTTTAGCCTCTTGAGCGTCCACAAGCAATTGTGGACGTCGGCCGGCCGGCCGGACGAGGGCAACGACAATATACGATCACATTTCAATGTGGGCGTATAAAAATCCTGAAGGATTGTTTACAAAAATGGTGAAGTATACACTGTCTTCAGATATACATATTTTTTTTATAAAGTTTTTTATTATTTACATGTTTTTCATAAACTCCAGTCCCTGGGTACATCTAGTTACAATACCGTACATGACAACCCAACATAGGTGACATAGTGGATTTTAGTCTTCTTTTGGTGACTATTTTGAGAGCTGGTAGTCAGGGAAGGGTCAGTATGACATGACTCAGTTTAAATATTGGCAAACTGGTTTTGATCTTTTTCACAGATTCTCTTTCATACACTATCAAAATCATAATGAATTACATCTGTACCATTCAAAATATTCATTCCTTAATTGCTGATATGAGAAAAACATGTAGGTGTACTGTTTTGTGTACAACTTTAGATAGATGAGTGATTTCAGCTATCGAACAATGTATAAATACAATATTAGGTATGTGTATTCTAGAATTAGAATCTGTGAAAAATCGAAAAACTGACACAAAGCAGGTCCTTATATACATGTAATAATAAGTATGGCTGTCTCGTGGCCATCCACTATCAACTTAGTCACTGAAATGGTTATGGAAATTATCAGAAACTTCAGACTAACTTCATTTAAGTTTTCATCAAAAATATGTGTAACAGAATGATCTCCCTTTATATATAATAAATCACCAAATTCTAGCTGAAGGGAATGAGTTATTCTTAACGCTGACTTGCTGCATCTCAATCTAAATATTTCTACCAGACAAGTAACATATTTATGTGCTTACATAACAAAATTTGTGAAATAGTTTATAGACAAAGTAATCTTGATATAAGTATTCAACAAAATGGGTTAGGTCATTTTGTAATAGTATTTTTTTTTTAATTCTAATAGATAGACCTATGCTAAAATAACAAAGTTACAATTATAGATTAAAACAATTTGAGGGGCAAGGAGAATGCCCGTTTAAAATATAGCATGCATCGGAATATTTTATTCTTTAAGCTGTGCAAAATTGGATATTTTAGCGAAAATGATGTACATGTATCAAGCCGTTAAAGATACTATATTACCTGCATGTAAAAAATCTTCAGATAACATTCTCTATTTACCTGGATTGTGAATGCTCAGCAACTCAACATTATCATCATTCAGTTACAGCTGATGAACTCGGCACTCATGTGTAGGCTTAGTTTTAGGCAAAAAAATTCACTTGGGCCAGAGCATTGAGTCAAAATTTGGGTTCCAGTGGGACCATCCCATAATTTATTGCCTTACGTTATTCATCAGTCATAAAAAAAAATAACTTGTTCAACCCTTATTCTTGAACAGTCAAAAAAATTGATAATGCTATCTATGAACAGCCCTGTATTTTGACATTTTGGACAGACTGTGCTATGTATATATCTACTATACAAATTTATAACAACCATATTAGTTATATATACATACACGTATATATATACATGTTGATGTTAGTCATTCAATCTATTGACTTTATTAAAGTTCCCTTTATGTTCAAATATGTCAGTTTTTGTTCCACATTATTTCTTGGATTTAAAAAAACCCAAAAAACAAAACATTTCAGAGAGAAAGTAGCTATAAGAATTAGGAATTGGTTTGGTACATGTATAATCTTTATCATTAAAGATTTATTGACAAATAGAAAGGGTAAGTTATTTACATTAAGCTGCAGTTGGTCAGTAAGGCAAAAGTTAAATATTTGTGCTACTAAAGCCAAAATAATGCACTGACCTGTATATCTGTTTTCAACCATTTAGCATCAAAACAAACTTGCGGCCAGAGTCTGGCCTCTGCAATCCAACTTCCACTCATTTTAAATACAGGTCAATTAGTAGGCTATACATATAGTCATCTGAAAAAACAAATATTACATCTAAATGAAGATAATCATTTAAGGGTTGGTCAATCAAGATGGACACAGATGTTTGTGAGGAAATTCTGTACAGTGGTTTTAATGTAGTGAATCTACAAATCAGACTACATGTAGTTATCTCATCGATACTGTTCTAATTGGATCATGTTATTATCATCTTTTCCTAGGCTGGACTAAATGAGAAGAAGTCAGATCTTTGGCCAAATTTACCAGAATGATTAACATTTCAATATCATCCATTATTGATGTGAAATGGTAAATTTTCAATCAGAGATCTCGATGGTAGTCCTAGCTGTGGTATAATAAAGTGAAAACTTAAAAACAAAATGAACAAATAATTAAAGTATTAATAATGTATGTAAGGACTATACTAGCACTGTATAAACTAAGCTTACAATTTATAATATTTAATTAAATTAAAACAATTACATCTCCATCTTTAATATCATGTTTTGCAAGTCTGTTTTTATTAGACAAGCTCGTACAGATAAGTAGGATGTAAAACCTCATTTAATTTTAATTGCAACAATGTTCATAGTCAATTATAAACACTGGTACACCTTTTGAAAATATATTTTTTGTTAAACATGTAGTGTACATGTACATTGTTTTTTTCTCCCCAAATTGCTATTTCATTCTTTTTCCATAAACTTTTTTTTTATAAGTTTCATTTTTTAATATACATGTACATGTACCAACCATGTACAATGTACATGTATTATGATATTGTCACTTATTTTTAATTTACAACATGTACTATAACTATAATGAATCATAGATGTTGACTGAAGTCACCATATTTATACAATTTTTAATGTAACATACATGTACATGTACATGACTGGAGAATCTAATTATTTGTTATGGAACTCTCTTTTGATACAGTGAGTAGAATACTATATCTTTACGAGTCGTTTTATTGTACATGTTCATCTAGTAAAACTAAAGTATATATAATGCAGTCATTTATCTATGATTTGATAAGGAGCCTAGTTTAACACATGATTATTATCTGATTACAGTGATCTACAGTGGTATACAGAAATAATGAACAACATCCCATACACAAGAAACATCCATTGATTTAATCAATTTTGTAGTCAATTATTTTGGTACTAAATATAGATATTTTGTGTGTACATGTTCTTAACGTTAATGCAATGATTTTGAGTCATTATTTACAGTAACCAGGTTAACCACAACCATATTTAACTACTACTTCATAAGCCTATTGCAGGTCTTTCTTTAGGCCTGAAATGTTATATAAACTATTAATTAGACATTAATTAACTTATCCAGACCATAATCAACTCTCGATGTCAACGCTAGTCTGCGATAATTGTTGGATTATGATCCGATTTGCTGCATAACTTTCCTTCTTGATTTAACGATTAAATGGATAATCGAGACTATGATTTTTGTTGTACCGACTTTAGTAATGATGACCGAGGCTATGCGGAACTTTCGATCGCTTTGACTGAAATTTTCAGCAAATTGCCTTTACATTATCTAGTTTTTAACTATTATAGTGAGAACTGCCAACTCGTTATCTAATCTCCCATAATGTATCTTTAACAAAAAGAAATGTGAAAATTTATCCCTTTGAAAATTGTTACAATTGGTCTCTACCATACTAAATATCTCAAAAGAACTTGATTGGCAACTTCAGATCTTTTGGATACTGTAGATTCCAAATGGACAGTTACCTCCCTAGAACTGACCCCGAGTTCACAAAGCATTCTCAGACTTAAGTTAAAAATTTACTCAAAATTTTTCACTTTATTTTAACTCAAATATAGCCCTTTATAAAACTTTTATTGTTTTAACATATCAAATATATCAATAAGAAACTTTATGCAAAGCGTTGTGTTTCTCGATCAAAGATATTTCTTATAATATAAAGAGTGATTGGAAGTTGAGTAAATTCTTAACTTAAGTCCGGAGAATGCTTTGTAAACTCGGGGGCAGGTTATTGTGGATGTCTACATACATTTACATTCACTATCAGTACTACACAGATTCAGTTTTCTGTCCTACTTGTAACCTTTTAAAATTGTGTGCGATCAAATGGACAATCAAATTATATGTCATTATTGTATACATAAAATTAAATAAAATATATTATAAGTCACAGCTCAGAGGTACATGTATCTATATAGTGCCATTGAAATATGGAGTGTAAGTGTTGAGTACAGATTTCATATGTGGAGTTAAATCTGCTCAGGTTAAGTATTTAATGGAATATTGATTACCGCGATGATAATCCGCCTAGCCTGCTCGGTTTTCACCATGGATCACTGCGTTATTTTTATTTGTACAAGCAAGGCGATCCTGAAAGAAAAGTATGATCGCACAGTTGATACTCACATTTACAACACATGGCTAGGCATTGGAATGGCAGTGGTAACTAGACATTTGGGCATATTAAACTTGTTCATCCCTACTCCTAGCTTTTATGAGTATTTCAAACGATTTCCTGATTCTATTTACATGACGAAATCTGCAGGTGGCCTTAATATTCAGATCTAACCATATATACATGTAACCATATTTACATGTAAATAGCAAAGATTATGAGATACCGCAGACTCAAATTTAAATCTTATTCTTAGCACATATGTTAATTAATGAATTATGGAGTGATTTTGAAAATTTATTATACCGGTAGTACATGTACAAAGTCGACAGAGGACAGATCCTACATGGGACGTCTGACACACTACTTTCATCTATAAAAACATTGTGGAGTAATCTGTGCACCAGTTCGATATGTGTAGATTACAATCGGAGCGTGCTGATTACAATCGGAGCGCACAGATTACAATCAGCACACATATATGTAGGGTCCAATCTGCGTGAACAGAGTGGACTCTACACAACACGGCAGCCCAGTTTGCAAACTGTTCAAGGGGTGAAGAATGCATCCAGCATAAGCAAGTGTCACCGTTGGCCAATGACAAACAACAAGTGCAAGTGGTTGCTGTTTGTTTTTTTTTCTCTCTTCTTTCTTGAATGTTCAGATTTCGAAAGTAGATAATTTTGCTTTATCGGACACTTTGAGCAAAATATTTTGAAAAAATTAAGCAATGGGTTTCAAATATCATTCACCAGCAAAAATTGCACCATACAAACCTTTAAGACTTTCGCGAGGGCACATTGAACTTATTCCATTACTTCGAAATTATTTTCTTGACAGACATGCGCCATTAAAAATGGGTATTTCGGTATTTCCGGGAAAAGAAGAGCAGCGATAAAGGGGAACAACTCCACTGTACTCCCAAAATGACGAGATAAGACAGTGGCTAATATTTGTTTATTCTTTTTTAGAGTTTTATTTGGTAATATTTTCATATATGAACATATTTCTTAATCGTTGCATGGTATGTAATTTTGTCATTCCTCAATTTGAAAAAGTCAACTAGATATGGCGGAGGCCAGTTCTGGAATTGGAGAAAGAGGAGGGGCACCACTTCCTCCAAAGAGACCAACAATTATTCGAGCAGCACCCACCAGACAGAGTAAGTTTATAAGACTAATAAGAGATGAAAATGACAAATATTAAAATTAAAGAAATACACTTTCATTAACTAACTTAGTAAGTAAAAGAATTCCTGTTATTCAAATGATGGAAAGACAATAATTACTTACACCTGGCTGGTAAAGACCACGTAAGATCAAAAATCTAAATTGCATGTATGTATAGCCCATGGTCACTATATCAACTTTACGGCAAGTTCACACCAATCTGATTAAAATTAAGTCCGCTGTTAACGTTTAAGTATCCGACACGCCAAAACGCTTTTCGATTTTTCACAGGCACTACACATAGGATATACATTATCTATACAATATCTAGGGTGACCCATGCACCTACAGAAATACAGTCAACCGCTGATAGTTCGAGACTACCACTGAAGCGTGCACATTCGCCGTGTCGAGTCCAACTTTCTGACAGTATGATACTATAAATAGCCATGGCACGTGCAATTCTCTACAAATCTATCAACTATTACAGCCGTAAAAAATTTATTGTTGACGATTTTGAATAGCAGTAAAATTAAGCTTCTTGGTTATTACAGCAGATTTAGAAATTACGTTCGTTTCATTTTTTAAATTGCTTTATCATTAACTGTACCGTTAAGAGCGGCATCTTTTGGTTTAGTACAAATAATATCTCTGAAGCACTCGGGTTAGACAGGAACATGATACTAGCAGTAGTTTCATTTTACTTTTACAAGCTTCTTAAAACAATTGTTTAGCTAGCTAACGTGCTCATTTCTAAATTCAATTTCTTGTTCTAGCTTTCTGTTATGTTTCGTAAATAAGTAGTCTTGATTATCCCGACCTGTCAATCAGCCCTAGAATGGTCGATAGACTGGTTAGGCGAGACTAATTTCAAAACAAGGGCACGTAACCTATCTTTAACTCAAGAGTGTCTGGATGTTATGGACGACACATGGAACCAGTTTTCAGTCTATTATTTATAGATGATTAATGGTCATAGCTTATTAAGTACAACATGATCGTTTATTTAGTGACTATAATTGTGTGAAACTGATTTGAGGCTTGGCATATATATAAATATTGTGGCGAAATTGTCGAGATATATGGAGATATTTATTTATGGTGGGTCACCCTACAATATCTCACTGTCTGTACAATATTGCACTATCAATACACACGGCAACTGGACAAGCGTCTATTGACAGTCCAATTACCACGTGACTGGCCTGATCATAATCACCGAATTATCGTCTTTCATTGGTATAGATTAGACATTTGTGATTGGAATATTTTAGAGTGAATTTAAAATGCCGTATCATGCCGTAGATCATTTTAAGCTGCCTTTGTTTAAATAGGCCACGTGTCAAATGAAGATGACTCAAGAAATTAGCGCATTTACCGGTAATTTGGATAACCCCGTAATACTTGATATCCCAAACTTAAGTACAGAAATACAAATGGTGCCAGTCATTTGTCGATATATTCATTATTAGCTATATATAATAATAAAAACCATTTCTATACATAAAGAACAACTACAGTGAATATGGAATTTTCCGATGACTATGCATAACATGTACAATATATCGCACTCATTTCTCTGCCAATCAACGCTTGGTATCTTATTACCATGTACCGTTCCATGTACTACGGGTGTAGTAAATGAAGTTAAACTTCGCCGCGAAAATTGCATGGGATCATTCGTGGAGTTCCTCGTGCCGTTTGGTGAGTGATTAAACTGTCAATGCAATTGTAAAATAATTTTATTATAAAGAAGATAAACGATGTTAGACATTATAACCTAATGGTATCAAAAACGTTTATCCATCCATCAATTAAATGTTGTTTAAACGCCAATCAACAAATAATACGAGGCTACTTGATTACAAAAACACCGGTGAGCAATAATTATTGGATATATAGTAATTTTAAACAACTTATTAGTAAAACTTAATTATTTTATACAATAAATTTGTGTGTGTGTGTATGATTCTACCATTATTTCGTTCGTGAGGTATTACGCACACGTTCCACTTAGTGACGTCTTTGATCTGGCCGGCGTAAAAAAATATAATTACCTAATCAACATTCTTAATCCCACTAACACTCACTGCTAACACCAACGTGTAAATTAATTTATGGCCCATGCCTGTATAACTCGTTGTTGTTAGTTAGTTGTAATTTACGTCCGCTTCCACCGAGGTGATATCGCAGACATCGTATAACTTTTATAGTCGGATTGATTAATTAATGACAGATATTAACGACACTACACTTTATGTGGAAAAGCGAAGTGCTCGCAGTAAAAACCACATAGCTGGACCCGTATATTATTTACATATTAAAAGTGTTCGTCTAATAAGTTCCATATTGTAAAAAATTAATTAAGAGTTCAAGACTTCAAAGTTTAAAAGTTGTAGGCACTCTAAATTGGATCTTAAATGAAAATGAATTACAAAACAAATTATTTCGTAGTCAATTGTTTTATTTAATTAGGGGGATTAAGGAATCCTTCAGGCGTTAAAGAATACACACGCCGGCTGTATATAGGTAATTAAGGAATAAACATTCCGAATATGCATTTGGTCACTGTGACGTCACTGGCGTCTGAGGGGATTAAGAGTGTTTTCGATAATTGCCAAAGTCGTTTTCACGGAAGGTCAATTTTTACGACTTTGAGTGAGGATAGCTGAATTAATTTCAACCAGATTGGCGTGAACTTGGCGTAAAGTGGATATAGTAATTACTGGCTACACCCATGAAAAAGTTTTTCCACCCATCTTATGTGCACTTTAAGGTTTCGTTCACACTTAACGTTGTCAGAATATCAAAGAGTAACATTTAACTTGTTGGATTAGCTGGTACATTGTGTACACACACAGAAACCAAGTGAAGAAAGTTTTGGTGGATTAGGATTATCATGATGTACTGAATAGTAAATTTTTCTCTATGGCCAGACTGGATTTGTCGGATAGTTTCAATTATCTACTTACCATAAATTAGTTTCCTATAGGCTTCATGTCGTACTTGCCATCATAGTTCTGCTTTTAAATAAATGTTATTGCTAAAGCTATAGGATTAGCCAACCAGTAGGCCTAGGCTATGGCCAGACTGGATTTGTCGCAAAGTTTTAGTTCTATCTACTTAGTATAAACTAGTTTCCTATAGGGTTCATATCACACTTGCCATCATAGTTCTGCTTTTAAAGAAATGTTATTGCTAAAGCTATAAGATTAGCCTACAAGGAGGCCCTATCCCTTGCGAGAGAGAGTGCAGAAAGGCATGGCTAAAATCGTTTTGTTAATGTACTTTTAAAAACAATACTGTACCATAGGTGTAAAAAACCCAAAACAACATGCTGTTAAAACCCCATCTTTTATGATGATTAGGCCTACATGTAGGTTAGATTCGAATCAAACATCATGTAAATATTGATAATTTCAGACAATGGAGAAAGTGAACAAAGAGCAGTACCACCCAGGCCAGTACCACCTGTTCCAGGTAACCGTCCTGCGATTCCACCATTACCTGCTTCCGGTCTATATGGCAGTAATAATAATCTGGAGCATCATCATAAACATGTTCATAAACTAGATGATGGAGGTATGGATATCTCTTCATTCTGTCATTATTTTTAACATGTACCTTTTTCAATGCATTGCATACATAAAATGGTTTTAATGTCCCACTTTTCTGCACCTGCAATGCTAATGAAGACGGGCATAAGCTATACAATGTGCTGCGAGGGAAATGTTGCCTGTTTCATATGTGCACACCACCATGTACACATACATCTACGCAGGACATCAATTTTCTTAAAATCTGAAGAACTGCATCATTTACAGCGGGGAACCACACAGAAGACTTCCACTGCAACACTGGGATCGAACCCAGGACCTACATATTAGCGAGCCAGCTCCCTACTCACTGAGCCACCATGGCTCCCGTTAATTGGCCACTAACAAAAAGCAACCCTCTGTTTGTTTGGGTTTTTTTAAATTGTAAAAAGTGACCCCAAAAATTTTTGTATGTGTAAAATTGAACCCTGTTAGTACATTACTCCCAAATTCCTCAGCTGTTACAGTTTTTGAATGAAAATATTTTCATTTGTAAAGAAATTTTAAAAAATCAGTTTAAGTTCATTTTATTATGTATGGTTAGAAGTTTCTCCTAATTTTGAGATTTTTATGAAGCAGTTATTATTTTGAATAAAGTATGATGCACAATAAATTTCACTGAATACATGTAGATTTATGTTGTGTTTGTGAATGTTGAAAGGAGCTGAATCTCCTTTGAAATTTGTCAAAATAAATTATTTAATTGGGTTGATCTAATGTGTTATTTGCATTAGGTATGTTACAAGTGCTGTATGATTAAACTTTTGGCTGCAGATGTCTAGTTTTAGTTTCATTTTTGGCTCACATTTTGTTTTCAACCAGGAACACACATTCGGTTATGCCTCAACATGAACTTTTTAAAGTTTCAACAAAAACAGATTATTATTCTGCAAATTAAATCAACACAGTCCAGTTAAATAGACAATTTAATTTTGATACAGATCAAATGCATCAGCCATTTTAAATAGATTTGATTGCGTTAACCTGTAATAACTGTTGTGTATATTTACATGTAGGTCCTCCACATTTACCAGTCAAACCCTCAGCACACCCAAACTTATTACCACCACCACCACCTAAACCTGACCATTCTAATAAAGGTGCCATCAGAAAGTAAGTTACTTAGTATAATAAGTATCTATTGTAATCATAAATTCCATCATTGCACAAACTTAACAAATAACAGGGAAGGTGTTAGTTAAGATGTCCCCCATAAATGTCTATCCATGTATATTTGTTGTATATGGTTGTTAATATTACGTATAGATTGTTTTATAAACGTTATATAATTTATTAGTCATTTCAGTAGTTTTATAGGCTTTGTTGAAGAAAAGATCATCATCGCATGAAACTATCTGTAGTGTGACTTAATATATATTTGAATAATAGTGCTATAAAATTATTCCAAAGTGTATTAAAAATTGTCTTTGTATGATTTTTTTCAGACGTCCTGAGATTACTGTTGTCGGGGCACGGCCAATGAGTGAAGTAGGATTTAGATCAGAGAATAATGCAAAGCCCTCAAATTCCAATGAAGCTATTGAAGCAGGTACTGATCTAACTATATTTCTCCTTGAATTGTGATAGGTTTTGACCATGATCTTATTCTTGATCCTTTACAGATCTGCTGTGGTCCTCCAAATAAGTGTGTGTGGGGTGAGGGGGGTGTGGGTTCCAATTCGTTAAGAAGATCTCTGGGATTTGTTAAGCCTAGTTCCAACTTGTTTTGATTAACAAATTGTTTGCTTAGTAATTTGGATGGGACAAAAAAAAAAACAAGGTCCACCTGTGTACACACTGCATGTAACAGAACCCTTGCAGAATTGTATGTGTGTGGACTAGATGTTAAAACTGCATTCCTATTCTATCTAATCAAAATTACTGAAAAAAGATAATAACATTTACTTTATATTATTTCTGTGTAACATTGAGAATTTTTTGGCAACACATTTTTTGTTTATGGGGGTTGTGTGGTTAGAACACTGGACCCACAACCAGCATATCCTGAGTTCGACTTTGAATCATGGGGCTTTTTTTAATCTCTGGTTCCCACTTGTTAGGGATGACATGTGCATGTCCAATCAAAAAAGTTGTCTTGTTAGGATGATGTGAAAAAAATGTGGTCCCTTGCACAAATTGGTAGTGGATGTAAAAGATCCCTTGACAATTGGATATCGAAAAAAAGGGCATGGACACACTGGTGTACAAGCCAAATTATCCTATACACATTGCACAGATAACCATAAAAACAAAAAATTGCCATATATTAGACTCAAAATGACTAAAGTATTGTGGTGACAAGAGTTGAACTCCATGCCTTTTCATTATATGTTTATTGTCTACATTATTGTTGCCTACATTTTTTGAAAGGATGTGAAAATGATAGACACATAAACTAAGAAGAGGAAATGAAATGTTATTATAAAAATGGTTGACTTCATTAAAACTGGATGATATGCAAAATAACCCGAGGCAGTGTGTCAGATAATGTTAATGGTCTTTATATATGTGTATCTGTCTTAGCCAACAATGTTACATAAATTATCTTCAGACTTGTGAATTTTTGTTGAATGGACAAATATCAGACATGATTTATGTACGTGAAATGTACATGACTGACAACATGATATGAATAAAAATATTGAAAGACAGGCAGTGGACACCAGTGGCATTGTGCTTAAAAAAGCAGGACTTTGTGCTTGACATTTTCAGTGATAAGTTGCTTATTTCCAAGCTGTATCTTATTCAGACTTTTTTAAAATGTTTACCGATAAATAAATTAAATCTGCGTGAAAGGTTAAAGATGCAGTATGCAAGAGCTAAAACTGCCTACTGCAGGTCTTTTTTCTGGCTACAAATGTTATATAAATTATTCTTTAAAATTTGTTCACATGGCAAGTCCATAATCAACTCTCTAGACCAAATGATTATTGCAGACTTCTTTAATTGATTCATTTAATTAAAATTTTGTCAATCTAAATGTGTTTTAAAGATAAGTTACCTGTAATTTGTGATAATCTTGTTACAGATCCTCCTCCACTTCCGAAACGAGACGCGTCCTTGCAAAATGAGTCTAGACCGCCACAAATACCAAACAAGCCTCTTCCTCCAGCTCCTTCATCAAAACACAAGATTCCCTCAAGACCTTCCCAGCCACCTAAGAAAATTGCTACACCCAAACCAGCTAAACAGCCTGAAGTTGATCTTCTCATAGATTTTTCAGATGAAATACATGTACAGTCACAACCTCTAATCCCTCTCCCATCAAGCAACAATTCCCAGGCAATGCCAGAACCTGCTTCTATGCCTCCCCCCTTAACAATGCCCCCTCCATTAACTACGCCTCCTGCCTTATCCATGCCCCCACATGAATCTGTGCCCCAATCCTCGTCTATGCCTTCATTAGTGCCTTCGCAAGCATCCTTGCCGGTTCCAAAACCACGTCCAATACCAGCAGCTAGATCCAGATCACCAGCCCCAATAGCAAGATCCAGGTCTCCAACACCAGTAGCAACTTCTTCAGAATCGGCTCCCCCATCTGTACCTCCCAAGAATTTACCCCCTTTCCCTCAAAAACCTGATGTGCCTATGATCAAACCCCGAACAACACCAGACAAAGAAAATGCAGAAGAAATCTCCACAAGAGAGACATCACCAAGCAAAGAGGCCCCGAAATATAGGAGACCAACTATTATTCGAGTGAAAAAGAAGGAAGAACCTGTTCCTAAACAATCACCTTCAGAAGATGCTGTAAAGATGGGTCTTCCGCCAAGTAGACCTAAACCACCAACCCCAGCTGCTAATCGAAAAATACCTCCCATTTCTAAAAGTACTGAAGATCTTGTAGAACCAGAGGTTGAGTATGCTGTAGTTAATAAAACAAACAGACCCACTGTCAATAAAACTCCTCAAACAGAGGAAATCAATAAAGTTCCACCTCCTTTACCTCCTAAAGCAGCCAATCCAACACCAGCACCAAAACCAACAGTTTTACCTAAGCCAAGAACTTCTCTTAAAAGTACAGGAAGTGAAAAATCTCCTGAGGAATCCTTTGTAAATGAAGTGTCAAAACCTGAAGAGACAAACAGTAATGTGACAAGTAGTGTACCACAAAGGAAACCAACCATTATAAGGGCACCTCCCAAACCAATGAGGTTGCATGAAGTGGAAGGGCAGGCAAAGCAAAAATTAGAAATGCTGGATGATGCAAAATTAAACGAAGAAAAACATCAGAAAATAAATACCGATGAAACTTTGGATGATACAAAAGTCAATAACAGAAATAGTTCTGCTCCTCCAAGGCCAGCTGCTAGAAGACCATTCTCTGCTATTGGGGCACCTGTAACTCGTAATGAGGAATCAGAAACCAAAATGTCAGATGTACCTAAAACCCCACCAGCAAGACCAGCAATGAAATGTATACCTAAATCAAAATCAGTAGAGAAAAATGAAGAAATGGATATGGGCAGCCAAAGGTCACTAGATGAAAACAAGATTATCTCTTCAGAAGAAAGAGGCCCACCACGTCCTAAACCACCTTCACCTAAAACCATACCATCTAGGGTAAAGACAGGTATAAACAATTATAGTCTTTTAAATATTTTACTTTTTTGTAGTATTATCAAGATATAAGAATATTAATGTATTATGGCCAGTGCATTGATAGGGCATATTTCTTATGGAGCATATAATGTGTGTGATTTTTACTGGTTTCGGTTTCTTAGCTCCATTTCCCTGTTAATTGTCTTGAGCTCTATATGGCTTGTTTATTTTTAACCATATTTCAATTTAATTTTTTTATATTTCAGATGAAGATGTGATTAAAAGGCCAAATAGACCACCTGGAATGCGTTCTCGACCAATGTCTGCTGCACCTAATGTTACCATAGGAAAAGACAGGTAAGTTATATTCTGTTCACATTAATTAAAGAAGATAATCCATCTGCTACTATGTTCTGACAAAAGATAATGATGACAGCAACCCGGCTCAACTTTTAAGGAAATTTTTTGGTCTCGTGTACGAGCAGATCTTTCAATATGGCATCCCTGGCTTGAATAGATTGATTTTCTTAGTAAGTCTGTCAGATTTGTGTAGAAATTAACTGTCATTCATGTTTCTATTCATCCCAATGGATAATTCTGCTTGTTCTGGTTCCGCCAGTGATATCATGAATGCAATCTTTAAAAATAGTATAGCCCTTGTACATAAGATCTCCAGAAAGTTTTTAAATAGTTGATTCTAGTAGCAACCATTGTTTTCAATCAATTGTTAGAATATAGAAAGGGTGGACCAATTCCTTTAAATTAATTTTTATATGTCACTGGTTTACATATTCCAAAATTTGTGTCTTATTTTGTTTTCCTGTATTTCAGAGAAAAACCGTCTCGTCCACAGCCACTTAGACCAAGCCATCCTAAACAAGAAAAGCCTTCAGGTACATGTATTATTATCAATTACAAAACAAAAAAGAAAACTTGGTACATGTATTTAAATATAATGCAAAATAAATTAAGTGTGGTTTATTGGTCGAGAGCGAGACATTAAGTAAAATATTGATACTGAACATGAGCGTTGGCCGAGTGTTGTTTCAATATATTAAACAATGTCTTGCTTGAGACCATTAAACAACTTAAAATACAGACACTGTATGTGCACATGCATTTCAAAGAAATGGTCACACGAGTCCAATATTGCATCTAGTTTAAATTATAGTATGCCAACATCAGTAAATGATATCACATCAGTATTTTAAATAGTTTTAAAAAATTTACTATTTGAAATAATGTATTCCTTCATTAAGAATCATACTTTCAAAATGGAATTTGTTCATTAACCCATCAGTTTTGCTGATTGTCAGTATGTTTTGTCTTTCAGTGCCACCAAGTTTACCACCACGACCTGGACCAAGTCATATTCTATATCATTATATATTAACATATCCACATGGTATTGCTGAACACAATTACTCAGCTTCCAAAGATGATGAACTATCATTTAAGGTACGATTCGAGCCCTCCTTATTTGTAGCAGAAAATGGTTTAAGAAGCAACACTATTCTGTTACTCTCCATAAAAATTTGACAGTTTGAAAGAAAAAAAAAGATTGTAAAACTGTTTTTTGTGTCAACGTTTATGTAAATGTTTAAAAATTTATTGATAATTAAAAATAATAGTTTCATTGCAGTCTGAAAAAATGTTTAAACTATGGTGAATTGTTGAATGATTTATTTCAGTTTTGATCTTTTTAATCCTCATTGTAACATTCATTATATCTTCTTGTTTATTTTATTAGGAAGGGGATACCATTATTTTGGTGGAACGAATAGATTCTCAGTGGTTAAAAGGGAAAATAGGAAATAAAGAAGGTGTTTTTCCAGAAAACTACATAAATATTATTCATCCCCTTCATTCTGAGGTAAAATGTTTAAAGATATTTTTGCAATTAGAACTTGGCACTACTGCACAAAAAAACGTTGGTTAGATCCTATCTTGAGCTCAATGTTTTTTGGATAAAAATGAAATATCATTCATGTGTCAACCAACAATCTTAGATAAAACCAAGATGGTGGCATAAAATTAATAGAAAGTTATGGGAACTTTAGATGGCTATAACTTCTGTTAGGTTTGATGTATTTGAATCATTTTTGGACTAATGTGCTGTTTGGTAATACTGCTGGTTTACTGTGTAAGTCTCAAGTATCATGCCATTATTTTGATTCTTAAATCTGGTAAGCATCTCAGATCAGACTATATTAAAGGGACTATCCCGATTTGAACAGAGTCTCAAAAATAAAAGTCTGAGTACCAATAAAATTTAAGCGCGAAAATATAGAGGAATGGTGTATTTACCCTGACTCAAAATTTCAGCTCAAAATATTAAGTCGTTTGCACGTGAATGTCAAAACTGCTTATCCGGACACGTAACCCTTTTAAGATTTCGGGTCAATTTTTTCCTTGGGTGACCTGATAATCGATTCCTGTTCCTTTAGAGGTTTAAACAGTGAATGACCCATGTGCTGTACTTGATAACGGAAGGTAAATTTCACCTACACATTATATTTAAAAAATAAAAGTCTGATTTTATCCAGGCACCGCATAATACAGCTTGGGACACCGGTCTCCATTTTCAGATGACGACTGACGGGTTTAAGTTGTTTGAAAACGTATCACATATATTGAGTTAGTTCCTCGGCCCTAAGGTAGAGGACTTTAAGTGATTTTAATACAAAATTAAGCAGTTTTATTCTCCAAAATATTACCTGGATTGGCCCTTTAATGTGAATGTATGATATATTTTATAGCTCCCACAACCAGGTAGTTCCCCAGACTCTGCTACTGGTGTCGATTGGACGAAAGTGGATTGGGGAGAAGATGAACCAGACGCAGACATTACAAAGATTAAACCTGACACAGGAAGTGGTCCAAGATGTCGTGCTAGGTTTGATTATGAAGGTGAAGGTCATGGAGATCTGGATTTTGAGGAAGGGGACATAATCCAGCTTAGAAAACATGTGGGTAGTGATTGGTTAGAAGGAGAATTAAATAATAAAGTTGGTATTTTCCCATTAAGTTTTGTGGAGATTATAGAAGATATAGCAGAAGATAAAACAGCTGATGAATTAGATGGATCACATTTAGTTAAAGCAGTTTTTGATTTTGAAGGTTTAGTTGGAGAACTTTCATTTCAGGTAATGATCAAAAAGCAAATTAGATTTACTTTTAAAAAATTTTGAACGTGCTTATATATATTTTATTTATTTATTATTTATATCTTATTATGATCAGTCAATATGACTTTTAATGGAATTTGGTAATCGTAAAGGTTACAGTGAAGAATCGATCTATCTCACAAGGCTTATGAAAAGAAAAGTATATCTGACTGTTCATCAAAAAACAAATTCCTATATACAAATTTGGAATGTACTTATTAATTGTATTGGTAATAACCAAAGTATTGTGCTTACAAGGTCATTTAATGCCATATATTACACTGTATAAGACACACTCTTTCTACAGGTATTTTTGGTCCGAGAATGTGTGCTCACATCATTAGACAAATTTTATTCCTATTCACTGGACAATTTGGTATCAATAAAGATGATCTTACTTTTACAATTGTAAAAGTCCAATTTCAATTAGTATTTTAGAATGGATTTTAAATTGAGAACTTTTATGAGATAAATTCATAATCTTATTGCTTGTGTAATGTATGAATAAATTATTTTACAGGCAGGGGAGAGTATCCATGTTATTGGTGAAGTTAACAGTGAATGGTTATATGGTGAAACTGGAGGAAGGCAGGGAAAGTTTCCAGCAACTTTTGTTGATCATAAACCAAGTCATTTACCTACATATCAACCTGATAATATATCAACATCTTCATCAACACCATCATTAACAAAGGTAAGTTTAATTATTTTATCTTAATGACTTATCTTTGGCACGAAAAGTTTGGACGTAAACACTGCTGAAGCCAAATTTTAGAATCCAGTTTAGAGGCAGATTAGAAAGAACTACTTCATAGTTAATTTCTGTATGTCAAATAAGTGACAAGGAGTAGGGTCACCTGTCCAACCTCATGGATTTTCTCTAAATCCTCCGGTTCCCTCCCACTGCTAAAGACCCCTATGCACAATTATTGAAATAAAATTGCACCGTATGTTAGTCCCGAAATGTCATAGTTTGTCTCTCTCTCTCTCTCTCCAATTATATTTGATTTGGGTAAAATATTAAAATTGTTGATTAAATAAATTGAATGTGATGGTATAGTGTGTATCAATGAGATTGTATTCAGCAATCGACAGTTGATTTTGACTTATTCTTTTGAAGCAAACATTTCGAAGTCTATAGATCTAGCCTATTCAACAATCAAAGGATATAGCAAAAGTAAAATATTCCAAATGGATTTTTTTTTTAATCCAGCCTCTATGTTATGAATATGATTTTATTTCAGTCTCGAGCAGTATTATTTACATGTAAAGCGATGTATGACTATAACAGTCCACAAGAAGAGGATCTTAACTTTCATGTCGGAGATCAAATACAGGTTATTGAAGATAAGGGTGACTGGCTTAAAGGAATGTTGGATAATAAACAGGGTGTTTTTCCTAAATCTTTTGTTCAAATTGAGAATCACGAAGGCAGCGGTAAGTAAGAATTAATGGGGTAATCTTCTAAGCATGACTTAAAAATATCTGATTTTTACAGATGCTATGGTTATATCTTCTCTAGGAATATATATGAATGATATTGTACTGTCTCTTCTATATTCATTGATTTCTTCCTGTCTGTGTTTTGGTATGAAGTTACTCTGTATATTTTACGTATATTTACATTTACAGCAAATCCAAAATTAAAGTGATTATAACTATATGTGGCAAACAAACTTAAACGTAAAATTAATGCACTATAAAAAATATACACAGATATATCTTGGCGCTTGCCCTAATCAAACGTCCAAAACTTTCAATATTAAGAGAATTGCAATCAAGTGATGCAGAATTGAGTTCTAATCAGGTGTGATTAAACAAAACGAACATGTTTTATCGAACGTGATGATTGGGAGAGATATTTTCGCATTCAGTTTTTGTATGCTTTGTTGCATGATACTCTCAATTCTCGTATATACTCAATGGTCTTTGTTCATGTGGTTGGGACGATTCAATTCCAGAACTTTCATTAGAGTAGTGTCCCCTTCATTCAGTTGCAGGATTGGTATTTATTCTCTTGCAGGTAATAATGTAGTTTCCAAGGGTCAAGCTAAAGCGTTATATGATTTTGATGGAGAAGGTGAAAATGAATTAACATTTAAAGTAAGTTTCATACCAATGGTTTTAAAGCCATAGTTATTGTTATCCTTCGCTGTTAAGTGTGGGGATGGGGGAGGATGTGATATTGAAATGGACTCCATCTGTTTGATTTCCCAAACTAGGGATAGTAAGTAATGAATACAGGTGGTGAATTACTCCTTAACACTCTGATCCTAGAAAGTAATTTGACTTTTATATATATAGTTGCAGGATATTGATGACTGAGTCTTCTTCTTATCACTGTTCTAACTAACCTTCTCTTAACTGTATATGAGCCTTCCAAGCATGACCTCTTACTTCTTGGAACAAGTCTATCTCCACCATTTGTCTTGGTGATTTGATAAATGGTCTTCTACCTTACCAGAATGAATTGTTTCATAATAAAAACCGCCCCCTAATGTCTATATTAAGGAGATATAATGCCAACCCAATTCAGACACAATATTTGTATTTCCAAACCGACTTGTTGCTGACATTTTTGTTATTTATTTTTACTGGAATAAGCCTGTAAAAAAAATGGGTGATATTCTCGGAAATTGAAGACATTTTACATATACTGATTTCCTTAAAAATTATGGAAATATTTTGTATAGTAAAAATTATTGAAAATTTGTGATAGACTACAATTTGTTTGACTTATTTCCAGAAAAATGATGTGATACTATTAGATGAGTTGGTATCTGGAACAACAGACTGGCAGTGGGGAAGTTTGTCTGGTAGAAGAGGAATGTTTCCCACTAATTTTGTGGAAGTTATATCCTAGAATTATTATATTATTATCTTTTCTCTATTTATTATAATCCAGTGTTTACCTATTCATTTAGGAAGAGTTCACACATACCTGTTTGTTGCTAATGTTTATTTTGAGTTCAAACTGTTGACTGCTGAGAGAACATAGATTGGTTACATTGACTTAATCTGTTTGTTGCTAATTTTTGTTTTGAGTTCAGACTGTTGACTGCTGAAGAGAACATAGATTGGTTACATTGACTTAATCTGTTTGTTGCTAATTTTTGTTTTGAGTTCAGACTGTTGACTGCTGAAGAGAACATGGGATTGGTTACATTGACTTAATCTGTGGACATGGAATTTTAAATTTTAAAACAAATTTAATAAAATCACTACTTCTATTTTTGGCTAATTTCAAAGAGATATTATTCAAAGTACGGGTATGCATCTTTAATACACTTCTGAATACTTCCACAAGAATCATTTTTATAAGGGAGACCACCTATTTCTATGATTCTTATGGTTTAATAGTCAACAGTCACATCTTCTTAATCATATTTATGTCTACAATACTGTTCTTATTAGCCATTAAATAAAATATGTATAATATATATAAAGCATATATTTTGCCTTAATTAGATCAATTTTGTAAATATGAAAGTATATAATGGTGCTATTAGAATGGAGAGTAGAATGGCATCAATAAAACCATATTAATTCACTGCTGCCTTTTGCAGCGTGTCATACACAGAATGTTCATTTCAGCTGTTGTGGATGGCCTAACAGTTGTTACTACTTGTTATTGTATATGTGGATATACTGACATTAATCAGAACTGGTGACTTGATTCATTTATACTTTTGTGGCTGAAATGTCATACATTCTATTTGATATACTTCAAGACCACTAAACTGATTTTTGTGGGATTGACCTGAGATTTGGTCTGTACTTAGTTAGTTGGAACTTTTGCTTTTATGTTACCAATACTTGAGCAGTACCATGTCTGCAATCATTTTGGTAGTGTAAATTGGGTTACATGTACAGTACTACAATCATAGCTGTAATCATTTTATTGTTTTGTATGAAAAAGTTTTCTGATTATGGAGCTTGAAATGTACAAACAGGTTTTTTTTTCTTCAAGTATTTTTCATTATAAGTTGTTATTTACATGTATGATATTGTATATACTGCTTTTATATCTACCATTATTTATAATATTTGTTATATATACACATACTGGAGCTGCACTAAAATGCGGATATCTAGTCCTTGAGTTCTCCTGAGTGAATGTCCTATTTTATTTATTGTACTCAAGGTTCATTTACTTCTCTATAAAACTGATGATACTGATTGCTTGCCATATACTGAAACCCTCCTACAGAGATGTCCAAATGTATGTTCTTGTAGCCTCACACAATAAGTAGACTTGTAACCACTCACTAAACTTTCTCCTTGTCTCTTCATGTATCTGTACAGTGACATTACTGTAATTAACCAAGTTAACGTCTAACTAACAACATATAGAACTACATTAAATATAACATAGCAATATATAAATTCTTATATATTGTCACGATCAAATTCATTAATTTCTGCAGTGACTGGTTAAAAAGCCTTGATATGTTAAGACTTGAGACAAGACGTAACAGATCTATATCTGGTACAAGAACTAGTATACATATGATACTTGCTTTATATTCAGAAACCTGTGCTATAATGACGTCTCATTGTATATCTTCTTACTAATATCTGCTGTTTATATCTGTATTATATATTCGTTATTAAATTATCTTTCGAAGAATATATTTATAATATAAATTTCTTATATACAGATTATTTATAGAAATGGTTTGGATAATGGTCTCATTTAGGTATTTATAATGATTTAATTGCTAGTCTCTCTGTGCTTCAAATAACATATAATTTATTATTAATATAAAAAATTTTAATGTAATTTTCTTAAAGATAGTGCCTGAATTGAGTTACCAAGTTATTACAGAGAGCAATAATATCAAGTGTACAGTGTTGTAAACAATATTCTGTGTTAATAGAAGAGATAAGAGTGGCTATTAAAACCTGGTTATCCCGAGTGTCAGTGACTATTTTCGTTTCGTATTGATTGTTCTAAATGTGGTCACCTTTTTCTTATAATAGTAACACTTGTAACTCGGGTTCGGATTGACGGATGGATCTCAAATTTGGAAGTAATTAAGTAAGATCAGAGATCTACACCTTTCAAACCACATGACGATGTTGTCGCTTTGACGTAAGCGTTTATGCTCATACATTATATAAGTTTATAAATGTTAGTATGTGTATTGTTACAAGTTGTATATAATATGGCAAAAGATATTATATGTGTAATTTAGAAGATAAAAGTGCTAATTGACGGTAGATTCTTAGAGTACACAATCCACAATGTCACTCATTAAATACATTTTGCTGATAATCACGTAAATATAAATAGTTCATGTTGCATTTAAAGACTACAGATACATGCTACATTTTATTTTAACTGAAGTTTGACTTTTGTACTGTTCAGATTCTATCAATTGTATATAAAACGATTTTAATATATTATTTTTTATATACATGTATATATTTCATAAATCTAAAAACTGCTTGTTTATTGTATGGGACTGGTTTCTCTTATGTCTTTAACTAAATATTAATCTTCCCAGGTATACAGAATCAGTTAGTTATGTATATTTCCCACAGTTGTTCAACTTCATAAGAGTTCAGTGGTTGGGCTCTTTCTATGAGATTGGGAGTAAAGGGAGATAAACAGACTTTACAAGTATCCTGGGTAATAACTGTGTAGCGCTTTAAGCATAACCGTTTGTGGTATAGATAAAGTGCATAGTATTTCAATAATACACAATGTTACGTCACTTTCTTTTGACAGAGATTGATTAATAAAAGCAACTGTGGTTAAACTATGACAAACATTTATCACTCTTCAGAATAAATGTATTTTTATATGCCTACTAATAATGTATGTTTCGTTGCTTGGCAACCTATCTTTCTACTTACTTATTAAATATTTATATATTATATATGTGTAAAATACATTATTAAAAATTATTATTTTGTATTAACTCTTGTTTTTATTCAGATTTTTGTTTGCTCCTCATTTTTTGATGAAATCAAGCGTGTAACGGTCGTGGGTCTCTGCCACACCATTTTGATCATAATAACTCTGCCTCTAATTGAGGTTGAATATTAAAACTTAGTGTACCCTAGAATTGACTATTAGCATTTTCTGCTCTGGCTATGTAGAGATAAGCAATTTGTTAATGCTTTGAAACACATAACTTTGATTCTAATTTAGAATAAGAGATAAGAAAAGTGATGAGCAATTTGAATACATTGGAATACTTTGATTCTAATTGAGTGAGAGTGGTGGAATATCGTGTATAATGTCATTATGTAGTGGTGACTCAATGACAACCAATACAGGGTTGACTTGTGTCAATTTCATTGATCCATGTGAATATTTTTTCAAAACAGTTCCTCTCCCTTTTATTGGAAGTTGTCAATCAATTACAGGATCCTACTCTCATGGAATTGAATTTGTAGAGATCATATAGCTGTAAAGATTGTTTCTGTTCAGTTTGCTGTTGAATTTTCCTTTTAACCAATATGTCAAACCTCATGTTTTTGGGGGGAGGGGGTCACAGTGGCTAAGATGTTGGCTTGCTAGCCTGGAGGTCGGGTGTTCGATCGCTGCATTGGCCGAGAAAGTTCATCCAGATTTCCCGGCGTGGTTCCCCCTTGTCAGTGATGCAGGACGAAGGGCCCGACAAGGACAGCTGTCTAGTTGTTCGGATGTGAAAAAACCCAAGGTCCCATGTGCACGTAAAAGATCCCTTGACAGTTGGAATGCGATATAAAAGTAGCTTGCATTGGAAAAGCTGGACAGAAGCTGTGGCTGGGAATTATTTTATAATTCTGGAGATATATAAAAGACAGAGCATTTTACATTGTTAAAATTTTTTAATTTGTTTTATGCAAAATATATAAATGTTACATTTAATTTAACAGACGATGTGCTCTTTAATACAAACCTGAGTAAGATATAAGATATAAAAGGCATGTGACGACAGGGATATAATGATATATGAATTATAGATATATGGTAAGTATTATATACAAATACATGAAAATATATATATATAATATATATATATATATATAAAGCCTGTAATATTTACACTATATTATAAACTGCCTGTGTCGGGTATAATTACATATTAATCTATATACAATACTATTTACAATCAATTATATATATTTATATATATATATACCAAATATTTATTTACTATATCTATGTACAATTTGGGAGTGTTCATTGTGGGAACTTTCTATACACAATTTGACCGGTATATAATATTTATTGAGTATTATATACGAATAAAATAAAATAAATCCTATAAACTACTAAAAATAATCACTACCTGGCCTTTATTTTGTACCATTTCAACTCCCATCTTTTTCTAACTGAGGTATACAAACTGATTATAAATTAAAAGTATCACTAAAACAGGTAAAAGGAAACAAAACAGTTGTAAAACTTCCCTTCCAATTTTTTAAAAAGATCCAGAATTTAGGAAAGCCAAATTACAGATCAATTAAAATTCTGTATGCCACCCATTAAAAAATAAAATCTCAATTATTAATTACATAATTACTTCTAATAATTTAATTTATTAATGCCATTGTGTAACACATAGTTCAACACAAGATAAATTTTGGATTTCTTTTTTGCAAATTCAAAGCTGATATTCATTATAAGAAGTTACTCAAATATGAAATAACACTTTTGCAAATAATGGATAATGAACTATTTAACTTGTAGTTTGAATATTATAACATAATCAAATCACAATGAAACAGTTTGATAACTTTGAGAGCATACTCTTCCAAATGTTTTTCAGAAATATTAGTAGGTTATAGGCTATCACACTGAAACAGTGGGAAAAAATATATCTCTGAAAATATTCTGGCTTTTATACTGGTATAGTTATTGAATTAACATAAGACTAAGAAAATATTGTACATAACACAGGCAGTTAAAATATGCAAGTTAGTTTATGATGATAAATCAAATAATGATGTCACATATTCATATATTCATTCAGCACAGAAAGATTTCATTCCCAATAACTATTTGGTTCTCCAGGGCTGACTCCAGAGTGATTACCCCACTTATCAGTGAAATGCCCCCCCCCCCTTTTCAATTTTCTGTATCAGATATTGAATTAATATGAAATATTTCATTGGTTTCAATTCTAAGCAGGTCATACCAAAAAGGTCAGGCAATTTAACAAAAATAAAACATCAATTTTACAGGGGTATCTGAAAAACCAGTTTGCATAGTAACTTAGGGGGTTTTTTTTCTTAAAGATATGTTTAAGCATTAGGTCCTTTGGTTGACCCACAAAACTTATTTTTATCTGAAAGTATATTGCTAATGATCAGGAAAATAATATTACAAACACAAATTACATAATAAGCACACAATACATTATTACAAAATGAAGTTATTCAATCTGACCATTTGAATATCGGCATGTATCATCATTGCACATCACATAGTAACCATTCATCAACTTATCCTTCATTTAGAATGATGATTCACTAATAATGGAACTAATATTTGTATAATTTAAAAATGTCCTTGGCTTAAAATATATTGCAAGGTAGAACATTTTTAGCAACAAAAATAATTTTTCTCAGTTGTTGTGCATCAAAGCTCTCGACTTTCGAGGAAACATATCTTTAAACAACATATAACAGTATGCTAAAGCTTAATCCCCACCTTCCATCCCCTATCCCTCCCGCCCCCCCCCCCCCACCCACACACACACACACCCATCCCATCACAAACCTTTGCCCACAACAACCAAAATAATCTCTTTTAGCCATTTTCACAAAAATATCATACATTCATGGACAAATGTAATAAATCTCTATATGTAAGTAAAATGATATATATATTAATATAATATAGATGGATATTATACAGTGATTGGATATGTTCAAAGATGAATTCAAATCTTTACAAAATTATTTCATGATATAACACATATTTTTCTCCTAAACAAAATCATCAAATTATAAAATCAATCAATTTATTGGTTAATTTTTTTAGCTTTTAAAGCAATATCATATTCAAATTAAAATAAATCTTACAAAGAGACAGGAAAAATGAAGACATTCACCGTTTCAATTTGATTCATCATATTCTTTATCAAAAGACCACTTTTAGGTTGTTTTTTTTGTTGTTTTTTTTTTTAAAAAAAAAAAAGAAAAAGGCAATATTGGTTTCATGTGTTATTTTTACATCGATCCATGATCCATCTTAATGGAAATAGATCTTTGGAACTGGATAAAGGATGAGTTTCCCAGTGTTTGGAACACAGAACACCTCTTCATAGATCATTGCCAAAAAGGACACTGTTTATATAAAATGATACTATTAGTTTAAATATTATCTTTAAGCTGAAATAAACGGGATCAGAGGGGTTTTTTTGTTGGTTTTTTTTTTCATTAAGCTACAAATGGACTTTTATTCAGTGGTCTCTAATTGATGAAAATGTTTCAATAATTTTTTCACATCATTATGATAGTTAAAGTATTTTTGGAATCTAATTAATATCTGAAATTTATTTATCGTTTCCAAATATAGTTAGTTTTGCATGTAATTGTAATAAAAACAAAAACAAAAAAAAACCCTCAAAAATTGCAGTCTAATTTTTAAGCCACTCATCATTTGCATTTTTTGGATAATAGGCCCCACCATAATATTTCACTGCTTAATCCACGCTAACATTTTCCAACTTTGATAATCTTCAGGCTTAGATTTAATTGTAATAAAAAGTGGCCTTGTCACAATATTGTAATTTTCAAGGGATTCAAAATCCATCAAATAATTATCAGCAGCTCTAATATCATTTTATTTAGACCCAGCAAAAGATATAAAGTAAATATACAGTTTCATATTTCACAGAAAATCACATAAAATTATAAGCGTGATTATATATATAATTTTTATGATAAATGAGGATAAATAGATATATTCCACAGTCCAATTATATAATAACATGTAGTAATCATTAGTATTTCACAACCATGACTATTAACAGTCAAACCTTTCTTTTAGATGTTGTACAAAATTAAATTCTTTAAAAGACAAAAAAAATTTTTTCAGGTATGAAAGATATAAATGGCCATAATCAATTAATATGACATAATTACATGCAACAAAAATGAATTTGTGAGCCTGATAATACCCAATTTCTAATTTATCGTCAGAAAATTTAAAAAAATTTCTATTCATTTATTTACTCACATAGGAAATAAACAGGAAATATTTTAATTACTGTATCGGTGTTCGATTAATTGTTCATAATGAAAAGAAAGGCTTGACGGAATAAAGTAACTGACACAAAACAAAATAGTTCTTAAAATAAAAGCTGACTATATTATTAATGACGACAATATTTAGATAATACACATTTTTATTTATATAATGCTTATCATAATAGTGGTTCCACATAATTTTAATATTTCAAAAAAACAAAAAAAACATTCAGAATATAATAACATTTATAGAATATACCACACATTTTGGAATATTTTTTTGAAAGTTCATTTTATAACCTTTTTTTTTTTTAGTTTTCACAAAATGAAAATTCCAAATATAGTAATATCATAAGGTCAAAGTTCAGTATATAAACAATGAAATATAATTATAATAGGTCCACTTTTCAAGAAAATACCAGAACTTTCATTTGTACAATGTTCATTTTACATACAGTTAAACCATTTGAACTCGTAATAGTCCTATTAACTTATAATGCTGTATTACATACCACGATTCCATTCCTCAGATTTACCTTTCGTTCACTTTCAAACATTCAATTGGTCTTTTTAATCAACAAATTAATTGATTTCTTTGGTTTTAAGATCTAAATAAACCAACAGAGTTCTTTCCCTTTAATCTGCTGCATTATTCTATTCTGTCCTTGAATTGACCTTGACTTTCATCTACTGAATTAATGCTGCTATAGCCCACAGTATCGGTCCTGTTTCTTACTATAGCAACAGAAATCAGTGTTATTGATCACCATGACAACACAAAAGCAGTGTTACTGATCACCATGCAAACAAGAATAATCAGTGGGTTTATAATGAAACTGCCAACTGATATTCTGAGCGCATTTCCAATCATGCGACTTCCACATTAAAGGGTTTAGATCTGCAAGAACGGTACCAACAATAACCAAATCTTCATAGGAGAAGACATCAATAGAAGCTTGTGGCAGGAAGTTTTTCACACCTCTTCCCCAATTCTGTCATCCCGTAAGAATTCTTCAAGTCTCTCCCTGTCAGTTTCAGCAGTTATTATATTTCCTGGTAAAACAGGAACGGTTGTTTTTGCAGATGTAATAAATGCCATCTTTTCTCTGTAAAATAAACAAATTCTACATGAACAAAACATAATGCACATGTCTTTTAGAAAGAAACCACTAGATCATTTCAGGACTTACATATAGACCATCTGTTTAACTCGATAATTCGCTTGAATGTAGAAGGAACTAGCCAGCATGGAGAAAATCGATGAAGTTATGTTTGCAACCATAATTCTTGCAACATACAGGCGTTTAAACTGCCCCATCCACCGCCAAACAATATTTGTTTTTGTAGAAATCATAGTAATATAGTTTAAACACTAACCTGAATGATATAACATTAGAAGCAGGGCTGTTTTTTCTCATACGCTGAACATCTCTGGTAGCACGTTTTAATAACTGTTCTGCTCTTCTCTCTTGTTTTGAGGCCTGCGTCTTCATATCATTTCTCTGGGCCTGTAGGAAAAAAAATGCAATCACTACATTACATTGCTTTAAAAATTTACATTTACTGAAGTGGTGGGAACATTACAAAACACAATAGATAAGTTTAGGTCTACTGTAGTAGCGGAACTGATACAACACAGAATACATAAGTTTAGATCTACTCTGTAGTGGTGAGACTGTTACAATACAGAACAGATAAGTTTAGGTCTACTGTATTGGCTAGACCGTTACAACACAGAATACATAAGTTTAGATCTACTCTGTATTGGCTAGACCTTTACAATACAGAACAGATAAGTTTAGATCTACTCTGTAGTGGTGAGACTGTTACAATACAGAACAGGTAAGTTTAGGTCTACTGTATTGGCTAGACCGTTACAACACAGAATAGATGAGTGTAGATCTACTGTATTGGCAAGACCGTTACAATACAGAACAGATAAGTTTAGATCTACTCTGTAGTGGTGAGACTGTTACAATACAGAACAGGTAAGTTTAGGTCTACTGTATTGGCTAGACCGTTACAACACAGAATAGATGAGTGTAGATCTACTGTATTGGCAAGACCGTTAAAACACAGAAATGATAAGTTCAGGGGTAAATAGCTACTGTACTATTGAATTAGACAAATGTAGGCTTTTGTATTAATTTAATTTTTTCTTCTGTCATGGAAGTTCCAATTCTAGAAGATAACAGTGGTTACCCAGGCCGTGTTGTTGGTTGTGAAGGGCTCCCATAACATTTTAAAATGAAGGCCCTCCACTGATAGTCGGAGTATGATAAACACTATGTATATCAGTAATAATATCTATTGAAACTATAGTAAAACATGCTTTCAATCAATATCAAATATTTTATATTAAAACAACATCATGCTATAAAATATATTAAATAGTCTATAGTAACTTAATATTTCATACAAACATCAGACTGTGTCAAATACAATTGGACAATAAAATTTCCTGATCTCACAAGAAACAAAAGGAATTGAATCTTGATTGGTCAAACAATTTCTAAAAACTAGTTTTGATTGGTGAAACACTTTTCTGAGAACTAGTTTTGATTGGTCAGACAATTTTCTAAGAACTAGATTTGGTTAGGCAAACAAATTTCTAAAAATTATTTGTTGTGAAATTGAAAATATTGGTCAGGAAAATTTAAAACAGGTATGTCATTGAAGAAGTTGGGAATGTTTTTTTTTAAAAATCATCGAAATTAATTTAACCCTTTAGCACCTGGTATGTATAAATACTGACTACCCCAGATCTCGGAGGAAAAAACAGAGAAAATCAATCTTTTTTACATTGAGTTTTCCAGCTCATTTTCAAATTTGCACAAAATTGCCGTATTGCTCTCTAGATCGCCTCATAGTGCCCGATTCTCTGAACTAGTTCACAGCAATTCATGTGACTTGAGCGAGCGGTTTAAAGCACTAGAGGAAGCAGTAGTATTGGTGGTCCAGATAGTAAAGGGTTAATTAGAAACAAAAGGGTATTATCTTAGGTTTGGGAGGTGCAAGTAATAGTATACAGTATCGGTAATCATAAATTCAAAAAATTAAAGTTTCGAAAAATGTAATTTAAAGTATAAAAATTACTTTCAGGCCATGCTCAAAAAAGACTTGTAATATATGATAAATCCATCTAAAAATATTTTACAAAAAAGTTTAAAATGGTTAAATTAAAAACCATGCACAAAAACTGAATAACTTGATCTATAAAACACACTATAAGACAATCTGTAAAATGGGAGAAACTATTGCTTACACATCTTTTTAATAATGATAATGTCTGAAATACAATAAAATAAAAAATGTTGTATGCTCATTTCTGCCCACAGACCTATAAATTGGCAAATTAGTATGAGAATTAAGTTTGTGAAGATGCTTTTAATGTTGTCATCGTGTCACTTAGATGTCAACATTGGTGACTTTGTGACCATACGATAAATTACTTTCCCAGGATTGATGTAAACCATACATCAAGAGATTAAACCTATCCCCAGAGAATTGTATGCCATGCCATCTTGACAACAACTTCACAATTCATCTTTCTCAGAAAACCTATGAGGTTTTTTTTTTAGAAAACCACTTCTTTGTTATTAAAAATTTCAGTTTTTACAGAATATTCACATATTCATCTGCCACCAATTTTATTGTAAAGAAAAAGCACACTTGTCACAGAACATTGCACCACTTTAATGATTTTTAAATGTACTGAGTCCGCAAGGCCCTTCAGAGAAATGTTGGTACCAGTGTTGAAGAATCACCAAATATTTAGTATGATTGTTTATTATGTTTTTAATTTAATTTAATTTAGGACTTACCAGTTTTTCTGCCTCTGATAAAAGGTTTTGGAAACTTTGGTCATCACTCATCCACTGGGGTAATTCAGTTTCACCTAAAAAATAACAGCACATATTCATCCTCAATAATGTAAAAGAATTTATTCTTTTGCAGGGTTTCTCTGCATCAAAAGGCTATCTACACTGAAAAGTATATAGAAAAAAAACCTTTCCACACCTCCAGTCGAGCAGTCAGTGGTGCACTGGAATATCTCAAGTCCAAATACCAAGAACTCAGTCAAATTTGTTTCAACAATGGAAATTATAATTGGTTGATGTGTGTACAAATTTTTATAAAGATATCTTGAATGGTTAATGAGATATGCTTCAGAAACAAAATCGTGACAAAAGAAACCTTTTTCAATCTCTCTCCTAACATCAATCTGGATGACTTCAGAGAAATATGGAATAATTACCTTTTGTTTTAGCCTCTAACAATCTATTGTTGATATCTTTTAATCGTGCGATTTCATCTTGTAAATGATCAAACTTGGTGTGATTAGCTTGTAGATCTAGTTCCAGATCTAGAGAGGTTCTAATTGGTAGATGGCCAGATGGAGGGCCACTTGTTTCAACTTCAGGTTTTTTCCATCTTAAACTTCGTCTCTCTAGAGCATTCCTATGGAATGGACCCTTCTTATATTTAGGCATTGAGCTATCACTGTCACTTCTATTGAGCTATGAAAAGAAAAATGTAAATATTTATAAAAGTCAATCGTTTACTTTTTTTTATCAATATATAAAATCTAATATTTCGCAGGATTTCAACTAAAAGCCTGGATGAGAACATTTCCATCAAGTTGTTCATGGTGTACCAATGTTCTGTCATAAATTCTCTTTGAGCAGACGTCTTACCTTACAGATGTATCCAGGACCTTGACGACAAGCTGGTGAAAATGTCTGAGATCGTCTGATGGCACTGTTTCGAACAGCTTCATGTGTTCGCCGTTTATTTTCCCGAAGACGATATTCTCCTTCTGTATTGGTCGATTGATCACACTTCCTTATATGGAGTGATTCATCCGATTCTGTGAATCTATCATCAAAGTTGTCTGAATTCTCCAGCCTTTCTAGTTCCTCAAGGACTAGCTGTTGCATTTCATTATAATCCTGTAATGAAATTAAGCATAATATTAATTTTTGTTTGATGACGGCAAATATTATTCATTCAGCTATGAAATCAAAGCCGCCCATCGTCATTTGCATTTTTGGGACAAATATCTAATTTGTCGTTTTCTAATCCATGCTAAAAATGTACTCAAATTGATTAACATTTGATTAAAAAAAATAACAATCAAAGGTTGATAATCTTCCAGCTTGAATTTGATTAAAATAAAAAGAGGCCCATCAAAAGATTTTACCGAACATACCATTATAAATACTGAGCAGAATTTAATTGTTTTTGAACTGATATTCCTTTATCAGAAAAGCTAATTTACTTGTTGATTTCACAAAATTTACACACATATGATCCTACAATGTATCTTACCCCTTCATCTTCCTCTTCAATATCATCATCACAATCTTCACAGTAATCACCATCTACATCATTTACATCACCATGACCCTCCATAGCTTCTGGTCCTGTTAATAATATTATAACAATTAGTGATACTCATATCACCACTTTAACATTCAATATACTTCATTTATGTGTGTACTCAGTGACGAACGAGCCAAGTGGCATGCAGACGACAAAATTCAGGGAAAACGGTGACAGAAATTCAGGCAATCATTGCCTTGCTATCTATTCCACTGAACACTTTTTGAATCATTACCTGGCAAAGTCAAACAGGAATATGCAAGACTATAGTACCAAGATTCTAACAAATATTGTCAACATTCATATATTCGACTACATTGGTATTTGATGATATTAGTGCCATATGCCTATATTTGCAGGACTCTTTAACAATTCAGAGGGAGTGACCCAATCACATAATAATATATGGTTTACGTAGATGTCTGATATGATGTAAATGATACCTACCTTGATTTCTGGTTAATGTAGATGTTTGTGATGATATGATTGTTGATTCATCACTTGATTCTTCCTTTAATTTAACTTGCAAAGATTTTAATTGACTGAAAAAAAAAAAAAAATCATTTTATAAAATGACCCAAATGCAATATTTCTGATTACTATACAAGTATTTATGACTATCAAGCCAATATATATTGGGTAGCTTGTAAATTTTGGTTCCCATCTAAACAATGTTCAGTACCACCTAGTTGGAACCATGGTACTATATATTAGTTTAAAAGTGGCCACAGTCTTCATATTTCTGCATGTAAAATGGCCACAATACATCATATACAATAAGACAAGAAAGTAAAACAAGAAATGCGTAAAGAATTTAGAACTAGCACCTACAGAGACAACAAGTTTATATTTACCTCGTATTTTCTAGAGATGAAGAACGATCATCACTTGTTAATGAAGATTTACGTAATTTAGCAGACGACGCTTCCAGCAATAATTGAACTCTATCATTACCATCCTTCTAAAACAAAAAACATTGATTAATAATCATTTACCTGAAATGGGTGAGTTTAATTCCAAGACAGGTTGCCAGGAAGCAAAACATGCGTCCTAGAATATTATTGTCTAAAAATTTCAAATCAATTGGGTTATGATCATAGCCTTTAGAGGGTCCATAAATTTATTAAAAGTGATAAGGGCAATAAGTCTAAAAGCAATTATTAGCTTCTTCATCCATGAACCCAAATACTGTGCATAAACTAGATACATTTAACTAGAGCTCCACAAGAGTTTTCAAATTGATCAAGGGCAATAACTCTGACAGTAATTGTTGGACATACATGTAGGGTCAATAGGATTCTTCATCTTATGAACACAAACACTATGTTTAAATTTAGCTTCTAGGGCATCCACAAGCATTTGTGGATGACTGACATACAGACCGAAAGACAGACAGGGGCGATGACAATATATAACCACATTTTGATGTGGGTGTATAATAAGCAGAATGTGTGTATGAGGACCGAACGTTCCTAGTCATTCTAGATAACATGGTTTAATCAAAATAATGATTTTTAGGGCAATATATCATTTCCAACAAAATGGTTTTCATCAGTTTTGCACACTTGCAGATTTTGTAAATACCAACAAAGTAAAAAAGTAAAAGGATATTATATATTCAGTAAAATATGTTTAACTGGTGTAAAATGTAAAACAATGAATATTTGTGGCTGTCTAGACTATTTGATTTATAAATACGTTTATAACTAGTTGTCTCCCCAGTCAATCACTCATTTTATTGGCCTTTATTCAATTAATCAGCAGGAGAGTCTAACAGACCTAGTCAAGTAGAATAAAGTGGAAACTGCTACCCATTAAGTCAATCACGGTTAGAGAGATATACTAGATTTTGAATTGTTACTTGATTCTTCAGCGTAATATTACTTTCACTATTGTGTATTACCATTTATTGTACATAAATGCCTATATTTTATAAAGAGAGATCACTATTCGTTTTCAGAAAAGTCTTAACTTTAAAGAGTTATGAACCTTGTTTACAAAATATTGTTAGAGTTATGCACCTTGTTTTCAAAATACTATTAACACTCCAAATCGGATTTTGATATTTATGAAATTTAATTAGGTATCTAGCTATAAATTTTCAAAACAGATTAAAAATTGTTGTTTCTGATAATTTTGACTGCAGTTGTTAAGAGTATAACTTCTTGCTGGCAACCTATATTTCATTAAATATACAATATTGTTCTTTATTCACATATATATATAGTACATAGATAAAACTACTTATTTAAATTCATCTTCATTTGAAAAGACATTTCGGAAACATTACTCAATATTTTAGTCTCATTTTGTGTCTGAAAGCTTTCTTAATGAATATGCAGAAAAAACATTTATTACATTGGAGTGTCAAAATGGCTAGGTTACGGTAAAAAACCATTTTACTTGTTAACCTCTACGCTTTATTTTTGGACCTGTGCCGTAATTACATAATTCAGCAAACCATGTTAATTATTCTACCTGAACAGGTGCCAGTTTTGTTTGTGTCGTGTTTTATTCACACAAACTTATTCTAACACTTTAACCCACATTTTGTTGATCTTGTCCATATAATTACAAAAGTTGGGGATTTTTTAACAATAAAATCTTATTTTCTCTTAAATACATGTACATGAATTATTTGTTTACTTCAACATTATTTTCCTTGTCATATTGAATCAGAAGGATGTGGACTAGGGTTTTTACTTCAAATTTACTTATATTCGCAAGCTATTTTTGTTTAAAAGAATAGGACAATTTCTAGCATTATTGCAATTTCTATCTCTATTTTTACACATAAAACATGTCAATTTCAATGCACTTATTGCGTTTTACGATTAAATTCTTTGAAATGGTAATTTGATTGCCTGTAAATTGACTGAAAGAAGTTCTCAAGCAAGTCGACTTCACTGCCATTCAGTTGAGAGCGACAAATATGACCGAATCAAAAACCCTGATGTTTACTTACCTGACTATTTTGTGATGAAGATTTGTTGATATCAGAACTACCAGAAGATGATTGTTGACTCGGTGTACAAACTTTTCTACCAGCTGGTTGCATAAACTTAAAGTTCAAAATATTATACCATCTAATAGATACTTCTTTCGGATCGAAGTCCGCTAAACTCACTTGAAATGAGCCCTGAAAAAGTCAAACATTTCATATGTTCAATTCACTCTTAATTTTGATAGAAATTCATGGAAAATTATTTGTTAAAACAGAGTTCTCCAAGACCGTCATTTTTCACTGAAATCTGCACATTGTTTTTTCATTTTTCAATCAAACATACATTCTCTTTTTCCACTCAAATCAAAGCAGTTACATTCTTTCAAGACACATAAACCTAACTTACCAAACAGTCATCTCGACCAGCTTCCAGTATACAGAAGACATTAACTTGTAACGTCTGAGAAAAGAGTTTCGATTCTGCTATTTCAACTGTATGAATCTCATTAAATTTGGGCGACTTCAAATCGAACAAAGCCTTCGTCTCCCAGAAAGCAGCAGTATGGGGAAGTAAGGCTGTTTTTATGCAACTGTAATCAAAATAATAATAATCAAAATCATTAAAATTGATCAAATACAATCAACTATTAAACATTTCATTACATGGAGCCCAGTCACCAGGTCTTAATAAGTCATAAATTATCCGATTCATCGGATCCATTCTAGGCCTAGAATCGCCACAATTACAGTAAACAAGAGATCACAGGTGACCAATGGCAATTTATTTTTACATGGAACCCTGTCATCACACATTACTTGACACTTCCCCTACGATCCATTTACGGATTGTTCTTAAAATAGCGTATATTAGAAATGGGTAAATTATGCTGGTAATGAGTAAGGAATGGGTTCAAAGAAATTTACTTTAAATACAGAACATTTAAAAATTAAACCTAAAATATTTAATGACCGAATTGCATCAAATCTTATCTTTCAATGAAGTATACCAATTAAAAAAAGCTTTTATCATTATCAAAAATATAATACGCCTACATGTTTTACAGACTTAATTGTTTAAATTACCCTACATTATTATGATTAAAAGAAACAATTAATTAAAGTAAGTGGCCTAATTACATGAACAGTGAAGTCAAGAGGTTAAAAAGTTTGTAGTCTGTAGACTTTACTTACACTCGACTATTTTTAGGAAAAGGAAGAGCTAACAAGTTACGTCCCTGTTCCACACCAATACAAAGTATTTTATCCACCCCTTCATATCTGTAATCAAAACAAAAACAAATTAAATTTAATCAACACAACTTATGATCGTTTTTTTAAATGGGCAGGCAAGTGTCATGACAAAACAGAAACTATATAAAACTATGGACATTCTATAACCTTCCCTTGCATACAGACATTGTATGTATATATGTCTATACATGTATGTGCTGTGCATTTGATTATCTATGTAAGTTGACAACATGTTCCTTAGCTAACATCCTAGCTAGCGGTTTTGTGACCATGGTTATACGATGATAACTGTTCAACAGACAACTAGATCTACAGACTTGATTCAATAGTTTTCAGACCCCCAGATTAGCAGATCTGTGTGTTTGTCTCTCTGATTTTTTAACGGTTTATCCAATCTTGTCTTTATATTTTTTGTGCGTGTATGTTAGCTTCAGTGCTAGAGATATACAAAATTGTCACTATTCTGATTTCGGAATATTTTCTCCATTTTAATTGATCATGTTTCAATATGCATAATGTTGAATATTAGTATGTGTATTTGATATTTTGATAAAGACCAGATTTAGATAAAGTGGTTCACCAGTACCTAGACATATATTTTTACACTAGACATTCGTTTTGCCAAACAATCTTTCTCATGCTCGTGTCAAATCATACCATAGTCACGATGTTATTTCACATTCAACATCTGCCCTTCTAAAGTTACCACTCAAGTAGCATTCTTAAACAAATGTAATAGTTCAGATATCTTGCAAGATAACTACTAATTTATCGAACACTTTCCCAAGGACTTATACATATTTGCATCCCCGTCAACTTTACGTACTTGTTTTAAATCAAATTTGGGCGTATAAATAAGCATGGAATGATCTTGGAATGTACTCAAAAAATCCCACAGATGAATAACAAAGTTAACAATATAAATGTTGATAGAAATAGAAGTATTATATACTGCGCCCACACACAGTCTATTATGTTAATAATATTTTTAAATACATCATAATTATCATGATAATACGCAATAAATTATTGTGGGAATTACAGCAGTATAAATATTAACTGCTGTTATATATTAACACCATACACTATGGGATTATAAAAATCTTATCATTTGAACTCATCAGACTGTAAAGGTTCTCTTATGAAATATAATTCAAGGTTTTCGAGCATGAATGAATCGTTTCACCGGTTTCATAACGTTCTCAAGATGAAATTTTGCATCTGATATCTATGCAACCTTTTCATTCAATATGAAGATAGTGTTACCGTAGACCTGAGTGAGTCAGAGTTAAATATAGAATAAATCGTGAATCTTCATGTGCCATATTTTGCTGACTAAAGATTGTCTTTCTGGATTGGAACTTGGATAAAAAAAACCCCAAAAAAGACTTGTTTATATAAAGAAATTAAAGGGACTCCTCTTCGTTGGTGATGGTGGGTTTTAATTTGTAAAATATATTGTTATTGGAATGTAGGTGAGGGATTACGTGACCAAGTGCACTTGTGACTTAAACCAAAAGGTCTGTTATTAAGTCAAGTGACATGGTTTTCAATACCAGGCTTGTATGTATTTGTCTAATCATACCTAACTTGCTTTAGACCCAAAACAGATCTATATTTTGTTTCATTTTTTTTATACTTTTGATGGCCTCCACTACATGAAGATCTGGTTGTAGTGGGAGTTTGCATCAAAGGTCATACAAGCTCCTTTTGCCCTTATGACGTCAGTCGTTCGATCATCCAATCAGCATTCTGAGCACTGCACACTAAGAACTTGACTCTACAGACCAGGATTCGCTAATTCCTCACATCACTGAAAACGCAGATCATTTAACAACACTTCCAGATCCTGGTGTAGTGCAGACAAGTAAAATGATATTTTGAACCATAAAAAAACGAAAAGTACTTAGATCCGTGTTTTAATCACATTGCTTTAGATCAAGAGAATTATTTAAATCCAGATGAACCATATGTTAGTCTCAAAATAACCTGGTTATTTTTGTTTAACACAAGACATACTGGCTACTGTAGTTTATTCTCAAAATTTTTCTCAAATTTTTAAATCAATATTTTTATTCTGTTTAAGCCCCCTCCCCAAGGTTTCTGTCCAATGTTTACCACCTATCTCCTCTCTAGTCATGGCTTCTGAGTCTCTAACTCAATATCATTAAAAATTTCGACATTGATAACACAAATTATTTTTCAATTCAAATCAACATTGGTCTTGTGATCTTACAGGGAAAAGGTGGGCTTCTGATATCCAATATTCAAGACAAAATTAACATTTTACCATTGGTACACGAATCGTGTACCATAATGCGTTTCAGCGCCATTTGGAACTGGGGACTCAAAGAACAGGGCTAGACATATTCCACAAGTCATGTCAAATGGTGATGCTATATTCTTATCTGGAGAGCATGCGCAATAAATACTATCGGCGTAGACTGGAAAAACCAGACGCTAAAGATTGCCATTCACATGAGTCTTCTGGCGTATTTCGCCGAACATAACTGATTAGAAATTAGAGTACAAACAGAAACGATTGAATGTAAATCAGTTTATATATTACATTATTATATGCGTTGCGACCCATTTTTGTCAATTTCTAGGTCCCAAATGTTAGCGATTTAGCTCCTTTAACCTTTTTTGTCTTGCATTCAAAACTCAAGGACACTGTCACTTTAACTAAGATGTTTACATACTAAGATTATTCCTATGCAATATTCTCTTAAAAACAAAAATCCTGTACCTGTGATGTATATAGATAATAATGTAAGAAATGAGCTTAGGTAATTAATAACGCACTAACTACTCCCTCTCCAAAAACACCACACATACCAATTAGACAAACTATATTGGCACAATATCAAAATAAAATTACCACACACATAACAAAAGGAGAAGGAGTGGGGTTGGGGGTGGTTAAACAGATCCATTTTAGTGCCGAGAACCGTCAAATCCTCAAAGCATCAAAGCCACTTCTTGAAATTATGTAATCATCAAAGAAGTTGTTTCGAGTGATTAATACCTTGACTAGACATATTTGAGGCAAAAATGTCGCCAGATAATGAAGCAGTTTTTGATGAATTATGAAGCTGTCAGCAGGAGATCGCGTGGCCGCCCAGAGTTGGATCGAAAGATGGTAAATTAACAAAATACCTGCCAAAATGTTCCTGTCTTAACATGTCTTGATAATTGATGGCAAGTGTTTAGCTTCTAATTCTATAAACATGTGTAAAAATATTATAACACCTTAAATATTCTCACGCCCCCGCCAAATAACTCATCTTCCTCCGCGAAACATGTCATATACTTTAATTATTCCACAAGGTATACGACTGTTTACTTCTTTACCGACACGCCAGGAATTGTTATATCAACATTACCACAAATATTATCAAAAAGATAAGAATAGTCACTTATTTTTATTATCATTACTATTAGGAGAAGAAGAAGCCGATTGCTTATCTGCCAAAAAATCTTGCAACTGCCAATGTCTCTGATGAGTCTTAAAGCAGAAATGGGTCTATTATTTCAGGCCAGAAATTTGCCAGCATTGATCAGTCTTTAATCATACAAATTGTTGAATAAGTGTACATAAATTAATTTTGAAATTTGAAGAGTTTAAGCTAGAGTACTTTCAATATTCTCTAACAATGTCTATTGTTTAACTCTCTATACAGTGCAGATGTGTTTGGTTTTTATAACAATATTACTACTTTACAACAAATTGCTTAAAGATATTCACCACTCAAGAATTTGTATTAATGTAGCTAAATGCATTTCCCAGTCATTGTTATATTTTTATAATTAGCATACACATGTACATGTAGATATATTATCCAGAACATTCACAAACACCGTTTTTTCCTATTATCCAGGAATTTTGATCTGGTATTTGATTTCATTCAACAACAGAATAATTACAGGACATATCACTGATAATATGCAACATGCTGTGTCATGTTTTATTCTTCAGATATGAGCGAGATATCAATATAGCATTAAAAACAACTGATAATTTAGTTTACAATATGTCCCTTGACTATCCTCATCACAAGAAGCAGTGCACCCTCCAATAATACAAATGTATGTATTAAGGAATCATTATATTCACACTGATATGCTACCAGAAACTTGGAATCATGATCTACTTTGTATTAAAGTATCTGTTAACTTTCGATAATAATACCAATGTCACCAAATAATAAACATTCAAAACATTGTAATAGGACAACCACCTGTGAACCCAATGAAGTGCAAGTAAAAGATCCCTTGGCAGTTGTAATTTCATGAAAAGTAGATGTTAATGCCATTGTCTTCATTACCCCATTCGGTGTAGAATGCTAGGGACATTTAACATTATTTCTGTTCATTTTAAAACATTTAGCCTAATACACACCTAAATATTTCATATGAATTAGATTTTTGTTCTCTTTGAAATTAATGATTTGTACAAGGATAAAATTACCTATGACTAAAAAAACATTTGGTGTCAAAAGAGTCATTCATCTCACAATTGGGTTAATGGACACGAGGAATTTTTGTGTGTTAAATTATGCGGAAATTATAGACTGAATTTATAGAGGAATTTTAAACAATTTGGTCTGGGTGTTAGTACAAATCTGTAGAGGTGAAACACATAATAAACAGATTACATGGACATAGTTTTCATACTATTTTATCGACTTATCATATATCAGCCTAAATATTTATGTAGACACATAATAGTAGTAGATAATTAATATAGATAATTATTTGCTGTACTTGCCAAATAATATAAAATAACTCTGAATGTGTTCACTATTTTTGGGGTGTTTTTCGATGTGAACAATAGCTCACTCCGAAATGGCTTTTATTAGCAAGAACGGGTGTTGAATGATTCTGGGTTTTTTGAAATTCTATGAGACAGGTGGACCAGTAGGTATTCCACTGGGCTGATTTGTGACTTAGGTGATATCTTGTGACAGATGCGTGTTGTTAAAAGCTATATTCCTTTTGTCTATACACTATTCATGTACTGTTTGAACTAGGTTTTGTTGGAACAGTTAAACAATCATTCGTTGCCCATTCAGATTTTAGTGAAAATTGATATATTTAAGTAGCAGCAAAAGAATACTTTTAGTAAAAAATAACCAAAGTTTGCCCATTATTTCAGGATTACACAAAAAATGGTCCACAGTTGATTTATCTTAAGTTAACATGTTCTAAATATATCCATGGCTATCATTCAAGGTTTAATAGTACAAAATTTATGCTTTTTATTTTCATTACAAGGTCAATGTCTGTCCTGCCATATATGACGTCAATGTAAAGAATTAATTACAGGAAAGGTTGTCAGTAATGTTAGGTGCATTTACGCATGAATACAGAGTTTGAAAGGCTATATGGGGGTGTGGTCATATCTATACAATATAAACTAGAAAACAAGCCCATTATATGTAATTAACTGAAATAACTTCAATATATATAAATACTTACTTTAATTTAATTTGGATCTGAGCACTTTCTAGTTTCGTTTCTAAAACCTCGTCAATATCACCAGTCCTATAAATAAAAAGTTTATGGGAGATAGTTAAGAAACTGTACTTATAGTTCAGAAATAGTACTACATGTAGTTACTTGAAAATATAATGAGATGCAATGAAAAAGCACCACTGATTTGACTGGCAGTGCTGGTGAGATATACATGTTATCTAATGCAGCTGAAATGAACTTTTTGACATGATTATAGACTGGACATTTACCTATACAAGACATTCAGTAACAAACCACAGAGATCTTAACAAATTTCAGTTATAATGAAATGTAGTCACAATGGATAAAAGTCAAGTCAGTATCGTGTGTGTGTGTGTGTGTGTGTGTGTGTGTCCACCTCTAGCAGCCACACACTCCATGTAATATCATGGCATGGAAGAGACAAGCTTGGTACTCAATGCCCTCTTGAATTTATGGTGTGCAGGTGTCAACCTTGGCTTATGATTGTATCTTCTACAGGACTGTAGTTGTACATACCCTAGCTTTTTAAAAGTCACATTTTAAACGTTTGGGAGAACTAATCATGACCTGTGGGGTGTTTATGCGATTGTGAAAACATCAGTCTCACGGTTACAATAGTGATCTGATGTTGCATTCAGAACCTCAAGATTAAAGTGTATCTTTCAAATGAGATTTCATCTATTTATAAATGTGGTGTGTTTCCATTGCGTCTCAGTATATTTAAGAAATATTCAAACAAACAGATAAAAGGTATAATTAAAATGGTGCACATCAGGGTTAAAAACCAAAACCATTCTGCTGAAAACAGTTGTTGTTTGAAGTGTTTAATGCAATTTTCTTTTCGGAATCAATAAAATGTAGGAAAATATTTTTAATTTTTACCTCTTAACAGCTGCCTCAAACACCCCACTATCTCCTGCTACAGACTCGTCACTGACGGCTGCCGAAACACTGCGTGTATTACCTCCCGATAAATTGTTGCACACACCCGAACTACTTTCACTAATAGGACTAAGAGGAGGGTTTGAAGTAGAATCAAATAGTTCTCCTCCATGACGCCTCATAAAGTTATTATTATTCATATTATTGTTGCTAACCGCCACTTCTGCACCCAAATTTGAAGGCACATTTTGATTGGACACAGGTCTCACATTAGGAAGCAGTTCCACAATTTTTGATTGCTCAAGAGTTGGCGGCGGCGCCACAGTCCATGAATTACCGATTTGTATACGTCTTTGACGCTCTACGTGTTGTTCGTAAGATGGTGGGGGTCCCACTTCGTAAGGAGAAGAGGGAGGTGATTGTGCCGAGGACAACGAAGTCTTTGGTGACGGAGGTTTAACTGCGGTCGAAACATTTTCACTACTCGCCATAACACTCTGTAAGTACTGTTCGGTGGCAGCAGCTGTTATTTCCGCCATGGGTCGGGGAAAATCTTCCAGAGCTTCTGGTTCAGCCACAGGAACATGCGTCTCATTTATGGGAGACATACAAGTACTGTGACCCTGAAGAAGTTTTTCCACACGTTGATGTAAGTCCTGTATATTAACATCACTACCAGTCTGTGCCTGATTATAAATATCCATAGCACTTAACGAATTTAACGAACCACGGCTACTGGCGGATAATGATCCTATTGATCCTAAACTTGATCCCGATGATATTGAGAGGGTACTAAAAGACATGCTGAAATAAAAATTACAAAACATTTAAAACCATTTTGCAGATCTAAAGCTGGCTTTCAAATCCAAATTTTTATCCTTTAGTTACCAAAAGCAGATATTGGAATAAAAATCCCAATAAATAAATAAGCTCATAATATTATTTGCCCCAATAAGAATCTTTTAGTGGCATTTTGTAACTGGAGATAGAAATAAACTATAACCCATGGAAAACGGCTACAATTAACAATGCTGTGACAGTGTTTTAGATCATCAATAAATGTTTTGTTGCTCAACGTTGATGGCTGTTTTCTATAAGTTACAGTTTATTACTCTATCTTTGGTTGTTCAATTAGTAAATTGTTCAATTACCTTTTTAACTGCATTTCTAACTGAGATGTTAATTTGGTTGTTTCAGACAACTGTTGTTGTATAGAGGTCTTCTCATTCTGTAGTTTTAACCTAGAAAATATGATGATGTTGACATAATGTTTCAAAATTAAAGCATTATTTCTATGACAACACATTTGATCAATAAGCTAAGAAACTGGACAGGAGTTTTTAGCTGATCACTCACCACTTAATGATAGATTTGGTTTTCTGTAGCCAAAGAGCATATGAAATGAACAACACAAACAAATGAGTATTTCTTTGTTGTATTAACCTATTAAAAGCTAAAAACCATATAGACCTACCTTTCTGCTATTTGTTTATTAGAGAGTTCCATACCGGTCTGGAGATCCTGCTCCAGTTGGCGAATTCTAAGACGAATAGATGACATTTCATCATCTGATCTTCCTTTAGGATCTATACTACGTAATTCTCTTACTAACTGATCTTTCTCTTGTAGAAGAAGTAACCTGAAAAATATCATTTCTAAGCATGAAATATATGCAGCAACAATTAGTTATTAATTGTAGAGTTATTGGCCTTTCTAATACTTTTTCATTCACATTTGTATACGTTGTTGCTGGACCAGAGACAGATTAAGGTTTTATTGGCCCCAGGAAAGCTCTGGTAAGTCAGCTTTATGTTATGAATCTAGGAAGATCATAATACAAATATACGTTGTATATATATATATATATATATATAAACTGAATCATTTCATTAACAGATAATTTAGAGTATTTATACTTTGATTCAGCATTCATAAAATATAGAACTTTTCATCAGAGATGATCAATACCTGTCTTTATCTGATTCTGTCTGACCAGGAACCATTCTATCTTCTACTGTTGCTAGTTTGATTTTCAGATCACTGAGTTTTTGGTAAGCTTCATCACACTGTAGACGTAATCGGGCTTTCTCTACTATATAACGACTATGTGACAATCCAAACTTCAAAATAAAAACATTTTACATACTATAATGTCACAATCTAACAACAATAAAAGATGCGATATTAAAAAAAGTCCTAACAATGTGATCAGTACTTGAATGTGATTAGTGGCCTGTTTGAATATGACACAATTTCTTAAAATTGACAAGATTGAGAGACCAGAAGATTGATTTTATTATCTGTTTACACTGGGGATACTTGATTGAATGCTCCGGAATCGAATTCTCTCAATCCCCAAAAATAGTGACAATTGAGTGAAAAGGGTGATATCGGACTACAACGCATATACCAACGGCCCCTTGTGTTTAATTACATCACAATTCTACTTACACCACCTCGGGAAAGACAGAACTGTGACAGGACTGAATTATGTGTCTCTCGATTGCAATTCTGTCAATTCTGGATGTTCTGGACTGACAACTGAGCATGCCATCAAATTTAATGGAATCAGAATGTTTTGTGACTTACCTCCCCTCTTAAATCTGTCTGTGATGCAGTTGTAGAACTATCTTGATTTAAAGAAAGTGTCGACACATCCGGTGACGAACCACCATAACGACTTAACAAAAACTCTTCTTTTAATCTTGCCAATGTCTGAAAAGAGAAAAAGAATTATACCATTAGTTTATTCCAGTTTTGTGAAATATCAATTCGCTTCAGATTTAGCTGAATGGACAGTCATACCATCCAAAATTTGTATTATAGTTGGGTATGTCTTTCAAGAGGGCTCAAGTGATGGAGACTAGTTGAGCTCAAGTGATGGAGAATGTTGTGTTCAAGTGTTGGAGACCAGTTGTACTCATGTGATGGAGACTAATTGGACCAAAGTGGAGACTAAGTTGGGCTCAAGTGATGGAGACTAGTTGAACTGAAGTGATGGAGACTAGTTGAACTGAAGTGATGAAGACTAGTTGGACGGAAGTGATGGAGACTGGTTGGGTTCAAGTGATGGAGACTAGTTGGACTTAAGTGATGGAGACTTGTTGGGTTCAAGTGATGGAGACTAGTTGGACGGAAGTGGAGACTAATTGGACCGAAGTGGAGACTAGCTGGGCTCAAGTGACGGAGACTACTTGGACTGATATGATGGAGACTAGTTGGGCTCAAGTGATGGAGACTAGTTGGGCTCAAGTGATGGATTGCTCAAAATGCATTTCTATTCTACAATAATTTTATCAGAAATTGAAAAATTCTCGTAATTTAGTATTATTTGTCAATTATTGGGATATCTTAGTGCATAATCTTTATATACATTTTAGTAGACACAAAAATCCATTTAACATTTTCTTGTAATTGACCATTTCCGATAAAAGTTCAAAATATAAAAAAATCTGAAATGTTAATCACACAAAAAACAAGAAATGATGTGCTATGAACAATTTGTAAAATGGTTTGTGGTAAAAAAAGGCTTGGATGAATATCAAATTGTGGTATTTATCACAGCCAAGTAATGGGATCCAATTACGGTTATTACATAAAACTACAGGCCATAGATTGAATTGAGTGACAGCATAGCTATAGAGGTCACAACATCGGAAATACAGAGGTCAACTTACAAAATATGATTTATTTCTAATGTCAGTGGTACACCAAATACCATGAAAATAGTCAACATATCTGAGTTATGTTGGTTCATTGAGTGTCAACAATAGTACATGTATGTCACTTTTAACATGTATAAACTCTTTGGTATTCCACCCAAAATTGACTCAAATTCTAATATTCTCAACCACTTCTATTTTAAATAGAATGAACACTTTTTGGTAGCAATTCTTTATCTATCAAACTTTTTTGTTTTATTTTTTTGATTAAGAAGGTGGATCAGTGGCTGAGTGCTTTAGGTCATAAGATCCATCATTGTGTGAAAAGGCATGTCGCCTACTTAATTAAGCCAGTGGATATTGGGTCCTCCTATCTACACAAGTCATTGAAATATATATTAACCATGTTGGTCCCGAAATACCCTAGTTAGTGTCAAGGGGATGTTAAACCCCATCTCTCTCTCTCTTTTTTGCGTAAGGGGAGGAGAGGGGGGAATATTTGCACCAATTCCCCTAAGTACCAATAAGTCTGTAGTTCACTTATTTTAAATAAATTGGATAATTTGAAAGTCATTTGTTTTTTGTGGGAAAGAGCCATTAGCACAAGTCTCACCAACTCTGTTACCACTGGAGAATTTGTATATTTTTTTATTTGCAAACTAGTACCAGTAACTTGGTATGGAGTAGATATATTTAATTCTTGAAGATGAAACCACTTCATGAATGGCTTGGCAGGCACTTGAGACAAGTACAATAAATATAAAAGATACAACTGCTAGTTTTTTTGTCTGAAGAAATAAATATCGAAGAAAGCCATGTTTCCTGTCCATATTTCACCCAACTATTAATATACATATTCACTACTAAATATACACTAGTTATATATCTACATTTCAGATTAGCAGACGGTTAACATTTATTTCACATGGACCATGATGAATACGGGGATGATGAATGTCACATTCGTGGAATATTAACCTCATTAAATTACTACTACAACACTGTCTTTCTACTGGAAAATTTACTATTATTTCAGGAATCTCTGATTAATTTCAGCCCATAGTGATAAGAGAGTCTACAATAATAGAGTCTACAATCTTGATTTATTGGTGTATTTCAAGAATCTTGGATTCATTTCATCACATAATGATAACAGTAGAAAAACAAATTCTTGGTTTATTTGTTTATTACAAGAATCGCCTATTAATTTTATAATATACTTGATTAGTATGGTTCATGAATGGCAGAAATGTGACACTGAGTTTAGTAGCTGATTTTTTAAACTGTCCCTAGAATGTCTCGGGACATGTGCTAATCTTGGTGTACTAGGTATACTTTGGGTAATTTGCTTCAGATATATTATGGCTAAAATACTAAAACATTTATATAATCCAAGTTAAATGGCACTATTTGCTTTCCCTCTTGCAGCACTGACATATGACTAATCAAATTCAGGTGTGTAAAGACAAATTTTGATCCAAGCCCATTTGCTATCACTAATTTTTGCGTCAGATAAAATTAAAATGAACACTCTGCAAGAAAAATTGTTCATTCATAACTATAAGTTTAATCTTCACTGATAAGAAATCAGTCTCACATTTTAACTTTAGGCCAAATATAATCTGCAGTTAATTCATTCAAATGTTTTATTAATTAAGGAAATGAATTTTAAAGAAAATTGGTTGCCTGTACCAATAAATAAATGAAATGAAATGGGGTTTAATGTCTTACTGTTCTGCTCCAACTAGGCTAATAAAGACGGGCATGAGGGAAATTTTGCGGCACTATGGCCTACTCTTATATCGAATTCCAACTGCCAAGGGATCTTTTACGTGCATTCCAATGTATACATAGGACCTCAATTTTTCATCACATCCGAACGACTAGACAGCTGTCCTTGTCAAGCACTCCATCCTGCACCACTGACAAGGAGAAATCATGTCGGAGAATTCCGATGAACTTTCTCGGCCAATGCAGGGATCGACCACGCGACCTCCAGGCTAGTGAGCCAGCGTCCTACCCACTTAGCCACTGTGGCTCCTGTAACAATAAATAACATTCTTGGTATGTTTTAATTTAATTCTAGATTAATTTAATCAACAAAATGACAGTTAACCAAATTTTTTTATAAAATCATTTCAAGCTGTACAAATTCTGGGGAATTAGGTAATACATGTACCTGAGTGACATATACTATAGTTATATGGATCTACCAGATCAGACAACTGTAATGACAAGGACTGTCTGGCCTCATTCGACAGGTGTCATGCATGAGGTAGAGAATGCTTACTCTTTTCTTTAAAATACTCATAATAATGGCCATAGAAATGCAAGTTATTTTGCCATACATCCCTGGCAAAGTCAACATGCTATTACATCAGTTGAGTTTGATTTCTTTTTAAGATCAATTTTACTAATCTGTAATACAGGTACTCATAGATAACCCCGTGCACAACAAATACTCACAAGACAAATAATAAAAATAAATATATGTAAGTCTTAGAATAGTTTAGTTGTCTTGAGTGTGTAATAAACCTGATTTCTTTCTCTTTTTCTATTATATATACATAAAGTGGAAAGTCAACTCAATAAAATTATATATTACTGATAAAATAGAAAGTGTTAATTTTGCACAGCAGGATATCATCTTAAAAACTGATGGGATAGAATTGAAAATAATCTGTTTCTTTAAAAAAAAAACTCTACTTTTTATCTTTATTCATTTTACCAACTTTATCGTACTGAACCATATAAATGTAGTCTGTTATCTCTTCAAGTGCATCTCGGCACAAACACAAAGTTAGTCTGACCCAACTATTATTACATTTCCGTAATACCTCATTTTCCTGCAAACTCTATTACAAAAACATGAAATGTCAGGAATTCGCATCTTTTTCAATTGTGCATCTTTCTGCATTTCTTTTACAGACAAAAGTCTGCTGCACCTTCGACTCACACGCTAGGTGCCAACTCAGTCCATGCCAAAAATGCAATCTGATAATCTTAACAGTCACTCTATCCTTTACAGTAACTACTCAATATGTACATTTACATCACGATTATGTGTGGAAGAATCATAAATAGATATCTCCAACAATTCTTGTCTTCTGTTCAATAAAAACATTATAACCTCATTATTTATATCGTACTGACATTTTCTTTTATTCTGTTTGATCTTATCAACCTTGAAAAATTCTAAATAACTGATGATTTTGTCAAAAAAGGGACAAAAGTGGAAGCAAGATCTTTGACTGCTTTTTTGTATTTTAGATTTTGTTTTCAGACTAGCATTTTTTTTTTTTGGTTAGTATTTTCTTGTCTTACTTGTTTTTTGACTAGTAATTTATTTTCTGGTTAGATTTTTGTTTTCTGATTCGTATTTTGGATTTTGTTTTCTGACTCGTATTTTGGATTTTAATTTCTGACAAGTTTCTCAAATTTGGTTCTCTGATGTGCATAAAGTAAATTATTTCTAAGTATTATATTATTGTTAAATTCAACTAGATCTAAACTCTATAAACAGCTAATAATTGCTACGTAATATAACTAAATATGACACTGACGGAACTAATTCCGCATCAACGATTCCATTTGTCAAAATTCTATAGTAATTATTGTAGTTAATAAAATAATGTATTCATATTTACAGCAAAATCATTAATACCTTTGATAAACAGAAATAACTCAGTTATAATTATACATATAATGTATAGTTAATAGAATTTCAGAAATAGATCTAACACATGATGAACAATAGTTTGATAAAAATAACCAACATAAAAGGATGTAAGCCATATTTATAATAACACATTCCAATCGGATTCAAGTACAAATGTAAATTTTGTTACAGTTTTGTACTTTTGATGGCCTCAACTCTCTCTCTATATATATATCATACTTTATCGAAGATTAATAAAATAAAATTTGAACTATAAAAAAAAAAATGAAACAAGATAGGATTGAATATTCCTTTGATATAATTTGTAAGATATATTATTTTCACTATACAGGACAATAACACCTATCATCTTACGGACAGGTGTGAATCCTGGG